CTACTGCCCATCACTGCTAAGGACACAACAACAGTTTGGCACTTTACAGCCGCAGCCGCCCCACTGTGACACCAGGTGTTCCCAGAGGACTCCCATTGCAGCACTATCCAAGCCCTGCCCTGCTTAGCTTCAGAGGTCTGACAGGCGCAGGCTCGCACATGCAGTGACCCAGTTTTTAATTCCAGCTGAAGGTTTTACATAAATGCTGCTACAGTGGCGACAATCCCAAAAAGCATAATCATATTTAATAGATTCTGTTGTGAATGCGAGACGGCGGCGTGACGGCGGAAGCTCTTTTGCGCCGGGACTGGGAGCTTTGTGTTCCTGTGAAAGCATCGTCAATTACATTTCCCGCTAAATAAATGAGTAATCTGGAAAGTAGTGCAGCTATAAATTCTACTGAATAATTCATGAATGCCGTTGTCACATAAACAGTGTTTATTTTCTATCAGTTAGTTTACACAATGTTTATCTGCTGTTTTTATCTAAAAATGTGGGGTTTTAGACTTTATCTTTCTGTATTGTGTGACAATTTTGACGACAGAAACTGTTGCCAATTGTGCAACACCTTCAATTCAAAACAACCGCAGGTCAACTTTAGAAAGTTGTCCATTTACCAACAACAAATCAGATGAATATATATAGATACAGTACATGCCATTTAGTAGATTATATCTCCTCTGGGTTTTTCCCTGGGTCAGCTTTATTTACCAAAGTGGGCCAATGTGGCAAATCTGCAACATCCCAGAATGCATTGCTTCTCTCAAAAAAAGTCAGAGAACTCTGGCTTCTCAGCTAGAAGGTCCTGGGTTTGAATTCCAGTTGGAACAGGGACTTTCTGAGTGCAGTTTGCACGTTCTCCCCGTGCCTGCGTAGTTTTCCTCTGGGTGCTCTGGTTTCACCTACCCCTAAACACATCGGTACAATCGGTACATAGGTCCAAGCCGATCTGGGCATGGACCTCGGGCGCTGTACTACGGCCACCACTGCTCCTGATAAAGACCCTAGTGGCATCAGTGTGGGTCAAATGCAGAGGACAAATTGCCCTGCAGGGATACGTCCATAAATTCTATTAAATGTCCTTAAATGTCCTGGATCCTCACTGTTCTTAAACCCTGCATCGGCCTCTCTCTGGGAGGACCTAGTTATAGTCATAAAAATCCCGTCAAGAGATTCAGTATTCAAGATTTTTTTATTTTTGTCTCCTTTAGGAGAGATTTGGTTTGGACTGATGGGTCTGCTACATTTCAGTACAAAAAATACATACATACAAAGAGTATGTGCTTATTTTTGTTACTGTTGTTTTGTTGTTGGAGCCTGTAATCTCAGGAACTTGAAAATCTAAAAATAGAAAAAACAAAACAAAATTTGAAGTTACTAAATGGACAAATTCACACAGAATGATTGATTCTGCCTCTGGGCTAAAAACAGAAAAACAATTCAGATTCAGAAAAAAAAAGTTTTCTGAATCTGAATCTGAAAACAGGCTCATCCTTCCTGTAGCAGCCTCGAGCAGTTTCCAGTCTGGATAACACACAATCACAGAAGTTAGCTTGTGTGCTGCTGCTATCTGCGTGTGTGTCTGTGTGTCTGTATGTCTGTGCGTGTCTCTGTGCGTACGTGCGTATGGCTGTGTGTCGCTCTGTGTGTGTCTGTCTATCTATCTGTGTGTGTCTTCTTGTGTGTGTGGGTGTATGTGTATCTGTCTCTCTGCATGTATGTGTGTGTGTGCCTACCTGTGTGTGTGTGCATGTGTATCTGTCTCTCTGCATGTATGTGTGTGTGTGCCTACCTGTGTGGGTGTGCATGTGTATCTGTCTCTCTGCATGTATGTGTGTGTGTGCCTACCTGTGTGTGTGTGCATGTGTATCTGTCTCTCTGCATGTATGTGTGTGTGTGCCTACCTGTGTGTGTGTATGTGTATCTGTCTCTCTGCATGTATGTGTGTGTGTGCCTACCTGTGTGTGTGTATGTGTATCTGTCTCTCTGCATGTATGTGTGTGTGTGCCTACCTGTCTGTGTGTCTGTGTGTGTGTGTCTCTTTCTCTGTGTGTGTCTGCGTGTGTGTATGTGTGTTGGCATTAGTCAGAGTGAGTTGTTATGGTTGAACTAGAAGCCACAGCTGTGTACATCTGTGAAGCCAGATGTTTCTTTTTACTTTTGGTGCGACTCAGATCGACCTAGATCGACCCGAGAAGAAAGGCTGCTGTTGTTGTGTTGCTCTGCTTCTGCTCTGTGTCGTACTGCGAGTCAAACATGTCTCCCCCGTATCTCCTTACCCATGTCAGATGTCAGCTGCCACAAAGAAAGTCCAACACAATGAACTCCAGTCAAATCACAGTGTAACCGTAGCACTAGCGGTCGGATATTTAAGAGTTGAGAGACTTTAGAATTCATTTAGGACCCCCCAAGTTGCCTCTACCTGTCTGCGTGGGTCACCTCAGTATCTCCTGTTTAAAATACACTAAAATACACTTGTACCCATTGAAATGAAAATAAAAATAGGAGTTGGGTGTTTCTATTCTGTTGGTGTGTTATTACAGCTTTGTTATTATTACACATGCTAATTTTCATGGGTCCCACACCATTTCCGGACTATAAACTGCAACTATTGACGAGTTCTTTGACCCCTGCGGCTTTTATAGCAATGAGGCTATTGTTCATGGACTTATTATTTTGTACTCCATCAAGTTTTAGAAGCTAGAGGACACTTGTTCATTGTTAAAATAGATAAATGAGTTCCAACATGAAAGCTAACAGTTAAGGTAAACATGCTAACGTGAGCTAATGTTAGCCTCTTCAAAGGTTGTTATTTACTTTTAGCTTTGTCCATAACAAGTCAAGAGTTAAAACAGTTGTCTATCGGATTTGTTGTTCTCTCTGTTACATTACAACGTTACATTGAACGGCCTATAAGTGGACGAAATGTATAATTTTTTATTCTTCTACAGTCTATGATTTCTGCAGCTGGTACTGTAATAAATCCTTTCAGAGCCAGAGTATCACATTTGCTACATGAGCGAGTGAATCTAGGACACCTTCTGGCTTCCCACAAACGTTACCCAACCTTTTTCTTTTGTATTATTCTTGTACCGTAATTGCAGGATTTTAAAGGCGCTATACCCGTTTCTGTAAGATTTGAATGTTTAGCACCGCCCCCCAACTCGCTCAATGGCTTCTCATTTCCCCTACGCTCTCATAACACAGAGCCATCTTGTTCAATTTGCGATCTGATACATATGCTAACATTAGCATTAGCACAACTTCTTGTAAGCTGTACAACAATCACTGAAGAAATGGTACTAAAGCAACGCACTGCTAACACAATATATAGGTAAAAGAATACTGCTAGTTTTGCATCCAAATTTATTCATTAAAACATTAAAATATATTTGAGTATTTAATTATAATTTAATTAAAGCTACAAAGCATACAGCTCCTCACAGCAGCAGTAGAACACTTCATTGACTTGAATGTAATTCTTCCGATATTTTTTTCTTGATAACAGAACTCTCGAATCAATAATGGCCGCTGCCCTTTGACAACGCAATCTCTGTTTGTAATTTAGGTGTGTAAAATACTGCCATTACTCCGCAAGTACAACAAGAGAAGCTAGCGGAGCTAGCCACGCTCAATAAACAACTAGCTACATATCTATCAATCAACACCATTAAATGTTAATCGGACAATACAGTATACATATACATCCTTAACACACATGCACGGATTTTTTCAGAATTTCTTGTTATCGTTTTCATGACAAAATTACTATTTTAATGTGACAAAAAGCGAAAAAACCCGGAAGTTACCATTTACATGTAGCTCCGGGGAGCTGGCTAGCTGAGCTGTTACCTGCCTAGCACGTCCCGGTGGAACCTTTGGGAGCTAACTATTTTATTTGCAGTTATTGAATACATTTCGAATTGTAAGGGCTGTCTAATATGTGTTCAAATATATATATATTTTTTTATTTTAGAATTATATTCGAATTTCGAGGCCGAAGCCCTGGTGTTAAGCAGCGCTGTAGGGGCTAGAGGACGCAGGCTGTTCGCTGCTCGTTCTGTGAGCGGAGGAGAACAAACGGGCCGCTAAGACTCTACTCAGCACTTTTCACTGCTTGTAACTCACACACCGCTGAATCAATTTCCTCAAGTTTTCAATTAAATTACGAATTATAATACAACTTGTATGTAGTAATAAGCATTTTTATCAACTACTTAGAAAAAAAATCGGGTATAGCTTCTTTTGGCTACTTTTTTCCCAGTTCTATAGTATCGTGGCGGCTCTTTCAGCTGTTTATGTTTATGTGAACAGTAGAGAGAGACGACACCAGGAAATTCACTTGAGAATAATTTTGATGTGAGCTCACAGACTTGATATTTTGGATTTGTTTTACTCTCCCAGCTTCAAGTTAGGCCTACAGGTATATGTGGATGAAATTAAGATTGAGAGATTGAGAGATTTAAACAGTAAGAATGAGGAACACACAACACAAGTTAAGGGAACATTATCTATATAGCACAACTCTGAACAAACTCTAAATTAAATAAAATTAAATATGTATATTTAGCTTAAAAAAAGAAGCAAGAATAAAATACTGTATCCTCAATTGAAAGAAATGTATACTTTAATGTACATCAGTAATACACTCCATTGCGAGACTATTAGGGTAATAAGTACTTTCTTTTCACATTTATCTGATGTGTTTAATTCAAAATAGTCATATCTTGTTTTGAGGACATTCTGACTCAGATTCTCCAACGGGACAAAGACATCATTTAGTCTTATTTCAACAACTGTTGCTGTATTTTCTCATTCCAATGGAGACTTTTCTTGTATCATTTTAAAACAAGATAATTTTGCTTTGTCCCATTGGCAAAATTGTGTTTTAAAACAGTCAAATTGTGCTCATATTAAGATACATTTTACCAAATTTAGGCATCTTTTTGCAGTGTATCAACTTGTACCGAGCTAAACAAATCGTGTTTTTGTATCGTCAGGGAGGTCAACTTTAAGAACTACACACTGCTGCAGCTCAACGAGGAGTTTTCTCGAGGAAGAGGTCTAGACTTCGGGGCCCGGTCCTGGAAAGGAGGCAACGTCCTGCTGTTCTTCTGTGACGTGGACATCTACTTCACTGCGGACTTCCTCAACACCTGCAGACTCAACACACAGCCGGGTAAGATCAAGAGACGCTTTATTGGTCCCACAGCGGGGAAATGTCAGTGTTGCATCACCAGTTACAGAGCAGTAGGAATGAGGAGCACACAGCACACGATAAATGCAAGATAAAAGCCTAATAAATAAGCAAGTATAAAAGTCTGTATATTCCAGTGTAAGAAATATATAGTAGTACAGGGGTCTCCAACCTTATTCAATCTGAGAGCTACTTTTATACAACAGAAGAGGCAGAGATCTATGTAATGATTATGACAAAACATGGAAAACAAATCCCATAATACTGTATAAACCTATAATTATATAATTATATAACGACTCAAAAGTGAGTAATTCAAGATCATGTGTTAAATTCTAAATCCTATGGAAAGCTACCTGAAAGGGGCTGGCGACCCCTGTAGTAGTATGTATACATCTGCAGTATGAGGGTGTAGCAGGGGTGACCTTTCCGATCTGTGTTGTGATATTTAGTTGTGATGCAGAAAAACGCACAGGAGACAGACTTTGAGGCGTTCTTTTATCTGGTCACAATAATAAAACACAGCTAGCATGTGCCTTGGTAACACAGTCTCAGCCCAAACTAAAAAGGAAAGACAGCGGCAGGTCAACATCTGGCTGTAACACGGAATTGTAAACATTGTAAACGTCATTAATATGAACTTATAGGACGTAAAAAGTGTAAGTAAGGACAAAATTATAACTAGAATAGGCATTTTGAGATATAAAAATACAAGGAATCAGGATCGCAAAGGGAAGAGGCAGCGGGAAAGCCCCAGATTTAAAGTGGGAGACATAAAAACATAGGAGTGGCTGGAGGACCAAAGCAGCACATCAAATCAAACACCAGGCATAAAAAAAATAAAAATACATGTTTTAAAAATACAGCCATAACAGTGTAATTCACGTCAGACTTACAGAAATAAAAATATATTAGTAAAGTTTTGAGAAAGATCACTGAAATTATTATATTTGCTACAAGGGTATGGGACGAATGTGGTTCTCTATTGCACGGATGAATAAAGTAAAGTAAAAGTGTGATATTTTTCATTTAAACAGTGATGAATTATTTTATAAACTCTGTCTCTTCTTCTCTGCTGCAGGTAAAAAGGTGTTCTACCCGGTGTTGTTCAGTCAGTACAACCCCGCGCTCATCTACGGCAGCAGCGAGCACGTCCCACCAGTCGAGCAGCAGCTGGTAACACACATACACCTATGTCATTAATGAGTTTTGCTTCAAGGCAAGTTTAGTTGTATAGCACAGTCCATACACAAGGAAAGTCATAGTGATTAACAAAACATAAAAGGACTTATAACCAAAAATAATCCCAGAACATTAAATACAGCGAAGATACGATCCTTCAGTTCTCTGCTGTTTTTAACCTGGATTTGTACATTGTCAGAGAAGAAGCCTGTCTCACGTTTTAAGGAAGACTGTTCCAGATTTTAGCTGTGTGAATCTGAAACACTGCCACCCCATGTTTAGTCCTGAGTCTGGGACCAGCAGGAGGCCAGTCCCTGTGCTCCTCAGAGTCCCAGTAGGAGGCCAGTCCCTGTGCTCCTCAGAGTCCCAGCAGGAGGCCAGTCCCTCTGCTCCTCAGAGTCCCAGCAGAAGGCCAGTCCCTGTGCTCCTCAGAGTCTGCGCACAATTTGAAGTGATTTTTAGCCTGAGATGTTGTCTGTTCGTTTCTCAGTTCAGAGATTTTCATTGTGTGCCTTGAGTGAAGTGTGTTATTTGTGTCTTTTGTGTCTTTATTATTGTGGTCTCTGCAGGTAATAAAGAAAGACACAGGTTTCTGGAGGGACTTTGGCTTTGGCATGACCTGCCAATACAGAACAGACTTCATCAACATTGGTAAATAGAAAAACACATTTGATTTATAAGGAAGACAAATAGACTGAGGCTTCGTATATAACCATAGTGTAAAGAAAGTAAAGCTTTCTGTCAGTCCCAACAGAAAGAAACTGTGGTTTAAGCAACATTTTAGAGAGAAAATCATGCGGTTTTTATCTTTATCTTATGAGAAAACATTTTATCTTGTACACGCTGAGCTTAGTGAGACTTGTACTGTGCTGTTTCTCACTGAATACACCGATCTGAACGTATGACAGGGGCTAAAAATACATTCAAAACTAGTGACCGGACCGACCTGTTTGAGAGCAATAGGAACTAGTTACTTGTAATAATAATAATAATAATAATACATCTTTATTGGTATTGCATTTTTTTTTAACAGTGTAACAAAACAGCCATAAACAGTCAATAAAACAGTCAAAAAGAAAGCAGAATAAAGCAACAAGAAGACAAAACAGAGACTAAAAACCAATGTATCTCTTGCAGTTTAATACATTTCTATTTTGTGCGGTTTCAAAGTCCCTCAGCTTTTACCACGCGGCACAGATTACCGTGGCCTGGAGCGAGGATTTTAAAAAAAGACGCTACAATAACCAATGCAAATCCAATCGACAGCGAAGTGAAAGTGTGAAGTGTATGCAAAGGCTGAGGTTGTGATGTCACACGTAATGAGGCGTCGAGCTGGAACATGCCCGCTGGTATTGTGCCTGTTGCTTACATACCAGTCGTCCGCCTCATGGCAAAACAACTCAGGATTAGCAGGAAACACACGCTGATTAAGATCACAGCATTCCCACAAATATCAAGGAATATCGCCAGAAGAATTAGCCTGCATTCCAAAGTATATTACACTTGTTATTGTTGTTTTTGTTTGCCTTCATTTCCTAAAAGTAGTTGTACTTTAGTTTAGATCGGGCTTATGATTATTCGATTAATTCCAGGTAAGAAATGGGAACCAAAAAAAACTCTAAAAAGACAATAGACCAGAAAGGATCTCTTAAACTTAATCGATTTCATTTGCAACAGATTGTTTACTAAATCAAAATAGTGAGCTGTAGTATGTAAAAGCCCTGTTTCCACCAGCCCTACTCGGCCCTATATAAAACCAACACATTATTATTAATATTATGTATCATTATATTCAGGTACAATACTTCCTTCCTTACCTACCTACTGCCCTACCTACCGACTGACTTCCTCAAACGCGGCTGTTGTTTCAGGCGGCTTTGACATCGACATCAAAGGCTGGGGCGGCGAGGACGTGCACCTCTACAGGAAGTACCTTCACAGTAACCTTCTGGTGGTCCGCGCTCCGTCCCGCGGCCTCTTCCACCTGTGGCACGAGAAGCGGTGCGCGGACGAGCTGCCGCCGGATCAGTACCGGATGTGTATGCAGTCCAAGGCCATGAACGAGGCCTCGCACGGACAGCTGGGAATGCTCTTCTTCAGGCATGAGATCGAGGCCCATCTCCGCAAACAGAACTCACAGAACCCAAAGAAGACATGAGCCACGGAGAAGGGGGAGGAGGTTAATGTGGGGTCTGGAACTGGTCTGGAACTGGTCTGGATCTAGTCTGGAACTGATCTTAAACTGGTCTGGAACTGGTTTTAAACTAGTCTTAAACTGGTCTTTAACTGGTCTTGAACTAGTCATAAATTGGTCTTAATTTGGCCTTGATCTGGTCTTAAACTGGTCTTGATCTGGTCTTAAACTAGTCCTCAACTGGTCTTGATCTGGTCTTAAACTGGTCTTAAACTAGTCCTCAACTGGTCTTGGTCTGGTCTTAAACTGGTCTTGATCTGGTCTTAAACTAGTCCTCAACTGGTCTTGGTCTGGTCTTAAACTGGTCTTAAACTAGTCCTCAACTGGTCTTGGTCTGGTCTTAAACTGGTCTTGATTTGGTCTTAAACTTGTCCTCAACTGGTCTTGGTCTGGTCTTAAACTGGTCTTGATCTGTTCTTAAACTAGTCCACAACTGGTCTTGGTCTGGTCTTAAACTGGTCTTGAATTGGTCTTAAACTGGTCTGGATCTGGTCTTAAACTAGTCCTCAACTGGTCTTGGTCTGGTCTTAAACTGGTCTTGATTTGGTCTTAAACTTGTCCTCAACTGGTCTTGGTCTGGTCTTAAACTGGTCTTGATCTGGTCTTAAACTAGTCCACAACTGGTCTTGGTCTGGTCTTGAACTGGTCTTGATTTGGTCTTAAACTTGTCCTCAACTGGTCTTGATCTGGTCTTAAACTGGTCTTGAATTGGTCTTAAACTGGTCTGGATCTGGTCTTAAACTAGTCCTCAACTGGTCTTGGTCTGGTCTTAAACTGGTCTCGAACTGGTCTTGATCTGGTCTTCCATGCTGTTGAAAGTTCGGAAAAGTAAAACATATTTATAACGTTATGAGACATTTTAGTCTTAAATCTACGCAGGTCGCACAGTTTATTGGTATAGCACGGTTTGTACACAAAGCGACTTTAATGTATTTGACAAAGCATTAAAATCGCAAAGAGAAGCCGGAGCAAATCAGATCAAATATGAAAACATTGCTGTAATCGACAACAACAATCCTGATTTTGATAATAATTGAGTTAGTATTTTATTATTTATTTGCCAAAAAGACTCTTAATGCGTTTTTTGTCCTGCTCATGTTTCCACTGCAGAAGGAGCCAGTACTTTGAAAACTGAGCCAGTGACGCTAATGTTGATCAACAGCGCCACCAGGTGGACTGACACATCACACACAGCTCCTGATGCTGTGTTGGTTTTGTGCCATGTACAGTGTTACACACATATACACACATACACATACACACACACACACACACACACACACACATACACATACATACACATATACATACATACATACATACATATACACACAAACAAATACTTACATGTACACGCACACACATACATGCATACATACACATACAACCCATACATATACATACACACACACACACACACATACATACCATACATATACATACATACACATATACATACATACATACATATACACACACATAAATACTTACATGTACACGCACACACATACATACATACATATACACATATACACACACACACACACACACATACACATACACATATACATCCATACATCCATACATACACACACACACATACATACATATACTCATACACGCAGCCATACATACATCCATACAAACATATACACATGCACGCGCAAATGCACACACACATACACAGTGTTACATGATGGTTAATGTAAATACTGCTTTTATGATTTTTTAAACATGTGTTTTATATATTCTGCCATTAGTTTGAATTTACTCACTAACAAAACAGACACGCTTCAACTGTCAAAGGTGCAATAAGAGAAAATGAATTCAAGGAGCAGTTGTGTGAGCACTTCACTTTGTTTGTAATTTAACCAAAGACTTTAAAATATGGCACTTTTAAAATAAAATGTTCAAGTCTATTGTACGTCATTTGTTGACTATGTTTGCTCACGTGACACGGACACAATACACCAGTGTCTCCCAAAGTGGGGTCCGCGGCCCCCTGGTGGGCCGCGAGGGTACTGCAGGGGGGCCGCGGGAGGTCATAAAAAAAATAAAAAAATAATATAATTATTTAATGTTAAATTTATACTGTTTTGTTTGTAATATTAAAATATTTGTGCTCATTATTTGACTTGAATAATCCACTGTAATCATTTTTGTATTACAATGTTTGTAGCAGAGGCTATTTCCCCAAAATAAAATAACCAGAAGAGCCTATTCTTAATGTTGTCTTCTTGGTTATTATTTTGGGGGGCCACGCAGACCCGTCAGATTTTTAAGGGGGCCTCGGTGTTACCGAGTTTGGGAATGGCTGCAATACACAATAGAAAATAAATTATAATTTCTGATTTTGTTTCTTTTGTATTTACGACAGTTGGACACTAGATGGCGCCGTAGTGAAACAAGAAAATAAATTCAGCGGGGAAACAGTATTATTGACAGACTTTATCTCAAGCATGGATCTATTCTCAAGTTATATGGTAAAATGTATTTATTATGAAGGTTTTTTGATGGAAAGATTTGATGGATTGTGTTTTATATTAGTTCACAGAGTCTTGCGGGTGACATCAACGCAAATCAAAACATGTAGCATAACATAGGGATAGGCAAAACAGACAAAAAATACAAATAATAATGATAATAAAAACGGATTTTTACAACGGAAGGAATGCTCTTTTTCTTTGGCAGATTTTAACGATGAATATTATACTATAAATTAATTTAAAATGGTCGTAGCAAGGGCTCTAGATTCTCCATTTTATTGCAGGGTCGTCGGTGTGGATGTATAATAATTACAGTAACTAAAATATTCGTATTATATATTATATCTTTGCATGGATGGATTATCGAGTGTAGGGGTGTGTAGTTACTGAAGTTCCCACGGGCCATGAACGCAGCGCAGCAGTGGGCGGGGCCATGAACGCAGCACAGCAGTGGGAGGGGGCCGTGAACGCAGCACAGCAGTGGGAGGGGGCCGTGAACGCAGCACAGCAGTGGGAGGGACCGTGAACACATCACAACAGTGGGAAGGTCTGTGAACGCCTCTGTTTGTCCAGTTTGCGGCTAGCGCAGTCCTCTCTCTGCAGACTCACTGTTTACGCAGATTACGTACGAGCCGCGGGGAAGGTGAACGTGGATTATTGCAGATTAAAACTTCAACAACGATGAAAATTTGTTGGAGACCTGGACCCGAGTCACCTCCGCATCAAGCCGAGGATCGCGTTGTTTTACCGGCGTGCTGGGCTTAGTATCTGCGGTGGAGGTTCTGGATGTCCACGGACTGATCTGAGGTCTGCACAGCGTAACATTACGTCACATTATATCATTGTCATCAAAGAGATCAGGCCCCACTCCTCTGCCAACATGTTTGAGGCCAAAGGAGTCCTCTTTGTGCTCTTGGACCTGGTCTGCCTGCTCCTGGGTATGTATCATAGACTGTAAATATTATGTATACGTCTGACTTTACTGCTACACGGTCATACTATTATTATAAGGCTGGTAACACAACACAGTAACAGAATAATCATAATGAGTTCTGGTTTGATTGTCCATAAATAATTGTGTTGTGAGTTCTCTCTCAGCTGTTGCTCTGTCAAAGTGGCACTGAAGCAGGAATTGTGTTATTTTTAGGTTTCTATGTGTGTGATCTCAGTCTCTCAATACAATTCACTAATACAGTACAATTCATTCTTGTATAGCCCTAAATGACAACAGCAGTCTTCTCAGAGACTTGACAAAACCATTGAAATCACCAACACAGATCAGAGAATCAACAAAAACACAGACAAATACTCATATGTATTGTTCCATAGGGAGAGACCAGTGTTCGTGAATGTTGATAAATGTCCATACATGTTATAGAATGATGAGCCACAGCAGAGATATGACAGCTCCAGTGACTCAGACTCTGACCTGTCAAAACAATTACTATAATCTCCCATCAATGATTTACACCAGTCTCCTCTGTTCTTAAAAGTAAAATGCTGATCCAACAGTTTTTAAGCTCGTCCTGTGAAAACACCATAACTATGGGTGGGCGATATCGGAGACAATATATATCTCAATATTTTTTTCCCAACTCCCAAAAACGATATTGTCACAAGATTTTTAAATAATGTCTTTAATATGATTTTTGTGTTTTATCCCTTTACACAAAATAATATCCAATGTTTTTCTTGCCAGGACAGGATAGAGACAGTGTAGATTAATAGCAGCTTTTTATTTGTACAGCTTTTTATATATTACCCAGTATCAATACTTAACGATAATGTATTTTTGTTCTGTTCTACTCTAGATTTGTACTATTTGTCTGCTCTAATTATAATATATATTAAAAAAAATATATATATATATATATACGCGATATTACTGTCTACTATACATATTGCCCGTCTTTAACCATAACAGAGATTTCCCTTCCTGGTTTCCCGATGAGGTCAGGTATTGTCTCTTGTTTTCTTTTGACAAATGTCTTTCTTCCGCCGATGTTGTGCGTCCACAGGAGGTCTGCCGTTAGCGGTGTATAATCTGGGTAAAGTGCGTCCGTATCAAAGAGGCTTTTTCTGTAACGATGACAGCATCAAGTACCCGTTCCACGACAGCACGGTCACCTCCACCGTGCTGTACTCTGTGGGCCTCACTCTGCCCATCGTCTCCGTAAGTCCGTCTGTCAGTTCTCACTGCAGAAAAGAATGAAATATAAGTTAAAAAAAGTGCAGAAAATTGACAAAATGTGTCTTAATTTGACAACCTTAAAAAAGATAAGATAAGAATAAAAAGAAGGAAAACACCAAACAGGATCTATTCTTTAAAAACAAAATAAAAATGATTGGATTATAAAATACAACTCGGGAGCTATAATTGCACTGTTCGGAGGTATTTACAGATGTGAAAATTGTACTTTAGCAGCAGAGAATATGAGAAAAATTAACAATAGTAATAACAGCAGCAGGTAAAGTGACTAGTGAAAGACAGAGTAGAAATATCAGTTGGATATGTATAATAATAATAATAACAGGTTAAGTGACTAATAACTTGTAAATGACTATAGCGAATTATTATCAGAACAGGTGTATAGAGTTGACTCAGCAGTTCTCGTTGTACAGTCTGACAGCAGCAGGAAGGAAGCACCTGCGAAACCTCTCCTTCACACAGAGAGGAGAAGATTTGACAATGGGACTAAGCAAAATAATGTACTAAAATTAAGATAAAAACACTCGATTCAAGCATTTATCAGCTCATATTTTATCATTTTTTGCAGTGTGTAAGTCTCTGGTATCAGCTTTGATAGGAGAGACCCCAGTTTAGTGCCTCTCAGTCCCGGCTTTAACTCGACATTACTGGAAACTGACTTGAGACTGAAAAGTAGAGACTGGTGGGAACAAGCTTCGTCGCCTACAACTTCAACTCAATTCATAATGAAACAGAAGCTATTTATGATTTTTTTTTTTGTTCGATGGGAAACATGTGAAACTGTCTTGGCTGTTTGTGTGAATGATACAGACCGTGGTGGAGACTGAAACGTAAACAGTGTCTAAGGGCCCGGAGCTGCTGATCGTCTGCTCATATGTCATGTATTTATGGTGCTTGGTGCTTCCCCTCTCTCCATAAAATAACAATAACATTTTGTCTTAAAGCCCGAAATTAAGACTGATCATAAAGGTCACATTTAGAGGAAAAAAAATTATAATAAACTTCGTAACAAAATCTTTATTTACCAGATTAAAGTCATAACATATATACAGTTAAAATGAGGGCCGTGGAGAATTTTGTGGACTTCAGGATAGGTTTCACAAACACGGAGATTCTTAAAGTAGCAGTATGTAAGATTTTCATGTCAAGTCATCATTAAAGGGCCCTAATCTGTCAAAAGGCTTTAATAAAACCTGCTCTTTTCCAATACTTCTTTAACTGATAACAGTAGTTCACAGATATTTGAATTTCAACATTACTTTTACAGCCCCTAAATCTTATTGTTTTCATTTCGATGTCCCGCCCTCCACCGTTTCACCAATCAGAGAGTCTGTGATCCGGGCGCCACAACTCACCTCGTCGAGCAAATCTCACTGGTAAAGTACCATTTGGCGCAGAACTAAAAAAGGTCTCGTTATGATTCTCAAATTATTAACGACAAAACAAGGAATAAAACCAGGATTTCTATCTTTGTGAAAAAGGTGTTGGTTATAGATTTGTTGTTGACAAAACTCTTGTCTATTCAGCTGTTATGGTCCCAGCTGGATTTGTCTGCATATCTGGAAACCTGAGTCAGGGAGAGTGGGAGAGGCTGCAGTACCACTTTTGGCCAGATTTTTTCATACTACTCCTTTAATCTTTTGGCAAATCAGCCTCATATTGTTGTAAGTATTAGGACTTTAAAAAACAGACTTGGAGGAAGTGAACTTTCTATATCTCAAAGTTTTTTAAATTTGTTTCACTAAAGACAAAAAGAAAAAAACAGACAACAAAGAAGAACACAAAAACAACACAAAACGAAAGTACGACCCCAAAAAGGAACACAGACAAACACAAAAAATAAGTTTATTATAATTGTTTTCATATTATCGTGAAACGTGACTCTTTTGCTGAAAGAGAAAGTGTCCCTGGCTCCTATAGAAGTACCTTAACCTGATTTTGCAGCTGCAGACTCATGTTTTTTCTCTCTCTAACGATCAATAACTCTTTTGATTAGTTCCCGACGCAGAGAATTCTTCACTAACATTTGCCTCTTGCTTCAAACTGCAGCTAAAGTCACATGTTTTTTATGTTGTTGACGGTTTTAAAGTTAAATTAATCCTGTATCCTCTCCTTCTGCTTCTTGTCTCCTGCCGCTCGCTCGCTAGCCGGAATCCCGTTTGCGATTCTTAACTTCCAAAAGCCTTTTCGACGAGGTTTTTTCTGTAATGACGATTCGATCAAGTTCCCCTTTAAAGAGGACACCATTTCTCATCAGGTGTTAGGAGCCGTAATGATTCCTCTGGTGGTGGTTTCTGTAAGTGTCTCTGCTTTTTCTGAATGATTTTACTTTTTACCGCTTTTAAATTAAAAGATTCAACTGAGAATCATCACTAAACAAAATAGTGTCAAAATGAAAGAGTTTAAAAAGTGAACACGGCTTCATGTTTGGAAATACATGTGAAACTGTTCTTGATTTGTCAATGTTTGAGAGTTGGTTTTATTTTAATTTTTTTATTTATTATTATTATTATTTTTATTTTATTTTTTGTAATTAATTATTTTTTATTATTTTTTCATTTTATTTTTTTTGTTTTTGTTTTATTTAATTTAATGTTTTTTATTTGTTTTTAATCTATTTTGTATTAATAATTAATTAATGGTTTTTTTATTTATTTTGTATTTTATTTTATGTATTTATTTTAATTTAATGTATTTTATTAGTTTGTATTGTATTTTATTTTTGAAACCCCCCCACTGCAGGACATAAAAATTCTTATCTTAAATTATCTTCTCAAAGACCCAAAAACCTAAACATAGACAGACTTGATTTGCTTATCATGTCTGTCTTGTCGCATGTGTGTGTTTGTGTGTGTGTCTGTGTGTGTAAACTTGTGTTTCCACTGTATACGTCTCGAATGCAAGTCATTTCCAGTAATGTCGTTTTAAAACCTTTTCGTGCATGATCTGTGTCTAAATATCTACTGTACGTATTTACAGTGCGGCAAAAAAGTATTTTGTCCTCCCACTTAAAAAAAAGAATACGACAATAAGACAATTCGACAAAAAAACACAGAATTAATTGCTATTTATGTCAGAGAGAAGGATTGAGGCACCAACAAACAAGCCTGACTCTGACTTCAGACCTGTAACTTCCCCTTTAAGAGGCCTGTTACCTGTAATAATGGCGCCTATTTGAAGCTGTTATATCTGTAAAACAGTCTTAAACAACCTTTTAACAATCACAATTCAAACTTTACTATTGCCAAGATAAAGCAGCTGTCAAAGGACACTATGAACAGAAGTTGCATGTAGACCTGCACCAGGGTGGGAAGACGGAATCTGCCCCACTGTATGTACTGTATGTGATATATACCTGAATATTTCTCCCTGTTTCTCCGCACACAGATGGTTATCGGCGAGTCTCTTTTAGTGTATTTTAAGAGGGTCCAGTCCAAGTCCAATTTTGGCAGTTACGTGGCGTGCGTTTACAAAGCCGTGGGGACGTTCCTGTTCGGCGCCGCCATGAGCCAATCCCTCACGGACATCGCCAAGTACACGATCGGTCGCCTCAGGCCGCACTTCCTGGACGTGTGCAGACCGGACTGGACTCGGCTCAACTGCTCCACGGGGGCCTACGTTGAGGACTACATCTGCACCGGGGACCCCCACAGAGTCCAGGAGGGCAGGTGAGAAACCCAAAGGGAAATGCAAAAACACACAAGAGATAGTAATAATAATAATGCATTGGTTTTATATTGTGCTTTTTTGGACTCTCAGACGCTTCACATGTCATTCATTCACTCCATACACAGTGTAGCCACAGCTGCCCTGGGGCACACTGACAGAAGCGAGGCAACCAGTATGTGCCATCAGCCCCTCTGAACAAAACTAACCATTCACACACACCAACCAGTCTCATTCTAATGTGGGTAAAGTGTCTTGGCCAAGGACACGACAGTATAGCAAAGCCTACAACCGTGGTTGCCCCCCCACTGTGGCACCAGAGGTCTCCCATCACAGCACTAACCAGGCCCTGTCCTGCTTGGCTTCCGATCCGACCAGATCTGTAGCTGAAGTTGGCTGGATGATACTATAAGACTAGCTCAATGGCATATCCAAACTAAGGCTTGTGAGATTTTCCAGGTTTTCTCTGTGTCTTGAAGGAGTCAGACGTTGGTTTTTCGGAGTGAACTTTACGTCACTCGGAGCTAATGAATGATTTGTGGAGCGTGGATCCACTGGTCTCAGGTCAGTTACAGATCGGTGACATCATCAGTGACATCATCAGGGCAGTGTTTGCTTCTGAAGAGAACAAGCCCAGTTCACAAACACGCCTGACCGAGCCCTAGATCTAGTTCTGGATATCCTGGAGGCAAAAAGAGACTAAAAACAAACATTAGTTTTCCATTGCTGAAGTCTGAAGCCTCATTTCCACCAAACCCTCTACTCCTACTCCCACTCGTACTCCTACTTCACCTCTTTCAGACAAACTTATACTAAAGTGTTCTAACTGACAGAGATTGGTCAGAGTGCAGCTGGATGCCATGGTTACCAAGGAATTTCCCTGGATCCTGGTTTGTTGTGGGCAGTGTTGGGTGCACGCATTACACTAATGAAACTACTTTTTCTACTTCTTTATAAGTAACTTCCCCAAACACTGGCTGTGGGTAGGTTTGTTAGGGTTAGACCGGTGCTCTACGACTGGGACATTCATTCATTATAAGCCTAACGACCGGACGATAACTTCCCGCTTTTTTTCAAGTTCTTTAAAGTCAGTAATCAATGTATGTATGTTTATGTGGTAGAGTTGTCAGAGCAGAGTTTATGGACAACATTTTGGCTTCATCAAGTTTTCAAAGCTATAGGACAAAGCTAGAGAAGTAAGCTAACAGTTAACTCACTCGCGTATGCTAACCTGACGTGTGAGTTCTCAGACTGGTGTTTTTTACCGAACTTTGAAACATGTCAAGCAAAAAGTTTTAAGATGCTTGAATCAAGTTGTTTTTATCTAAATTCAAGCACATTCTGTTCCAAGGGAGACATTTTTGTTATCTTTTTAAAACAAATTTCTCCCATTGGCAAATCTTGTTTTGAGGCAGTCAGAATCTGCTCAAACTAAGACACATTTTCCTAAATTTGAGCCGTTTTTTCCCTTATTTTTCCATTACTTCTTTAGCAGTGAGGGTTGTAAATCCGCAAGCAGCTTGAGAATAACACGGAGCTCCCTGACGTCTGTCCTGTCGTGTTATCAGTGGAATGTAAATCTTGTTTTGATTATGACCTGTGCTGCTTATCTGCGCGTGTCAGAAGGAAGCCAGCAGGGCCGAGCAGGACGTCCACTCCTTATGAAACCGGAAAAACACGCATCGACAACTGCAGTGTTGTTCAGACTCTGTGTTTAAGGTCATAATGAAACGTGTGGGCGATGGCGGCGGATTTATTTAGCTACACAAAGAGGCAATACACTGGAACTAGAGCTTGTGTCTTTCTCCATTCTCTATCCGTAGTTTATTTCAATGTTATTAAGTTTGTGAAATTCTCGCTCTAAACCTAGACTGGCCCTAGTTACCATAGCAACACACTGTTTACTAGCATCAGTTAGCATTTAGTTTAGCCGTGTTTCTACTACATTCACCAGTTTTAGCATGTACTGAAGATAAAAACTTGTATGAATTACTTAAATTGAATCAAATCGGTGTTAAATCGAATACATTTTTGGGGAGATTATTTCAGAATGGCGATAATTCGAATGGGAGCCGTCAAAATGGCCGCTCTCACTGCAAACGATTATGAAAAGCACAAGGCAACTCAAAGTGCTGAACAAAACAAGATGGCATTAAAATCATAAATAATCCCAATCAAATTAAGATAAAAACCCCTCGATTCAAGCTTTTATTACCTCATATTTGATCATTTTTTGCAGTGTAGTCCAGTCATATATGTGCTAAATAAAAAAATAAAAAAAACTAGATTCAAGCATTTTTAACCTCATTTTAAATCTTTTCTTCATTTTGACTTTAGACTTACTTTTCTGAGCAGGATAGATTATACATACTGTGTGAGAGGGCAGAACCCAGTGTTGTGTTGTGTTGTGTTGTGTTGCCAGTTCAGGATCAGCTTACAGTAATATGAGCCTCTTGATTAGATTTTCTAGCTGCAGTTCAACTTGTGGCCTCAAACCCAAACCGAGGTGATTCATGTGGATTTAACCTGCTCTGCTTTTGGACTGAACGCTATGATTACATGATTCTTCTTTGTTCTAATACTCTGCTGAAAAGTGGATGATAAAAACGTCATTCAACAACATTTATGCACATTGGTCTCCATATAAGGCTCTATATAACAATAATGCATTGGTTATTGTATGTTTATATTGGATCAATGCAAATAGACTGGGAGGTAAATGACTCTAGAAAAGTTCAGGCTGAAAGACGACGAAGGTAAATGTTTGTTACTGTTAAGGTGTGTAACTGCACTGCAAAATTAAGTACAAAAACAATTAAATAATGTGAAAATGTATCTATAATTTGAGCACATTGTGACTGCCTTAAAACAAGATTCCCCAGTGGGACAAAAGCCAAATGATCTTGTTTTAAAAAGATACAAGAAATGTCTCGATTGGAATGAGAAAATAAAGCCCCAGTTTTTTTAAATAAGACGACATTTCTTTGTCCCACTGGAGAATCGTGTTTTAAGTCAGAATGTGCTCAAATGGAAGCAATTATTTCCCGTATATTTATAGATTCATGACATGTATAAACAGGTGTGGGCAAAAAACTGTTTTTTATTTCCAGTAGCAACACGTATGTTCTCCTGCTGTTTGAGTCAGTTATTATTTAGATTCCAAAGCAGTGAGAGGTGAATCTTCTGAATTATTCATTTTACTCTAGACGTGTTTTTACAACGTCAGAAGTTTAACTCCAGGGTTTGTCCTTAAAGGCGAGAAGCTGAATGTCAGGTTTCTACTAAAATAATAAATTAAATCACAATTAGAAATACTGAACACTAGAATACTGCGTTAAACATACTATACACATTCATTCACATACCCCATACTTTAGAGATAGAGTTAACACTGTGTCATCGCTTCCCTTAATGCTAGAAATCAGCTCGAACTTTAGACTTTAAACTTTAGCTTTGATGTGTGGACTTGCGTAACACAATTAGTGTCACGGAAAACAGGGTAACTAATTAAAGCTGCATTACCTGACTTTATTTTTGTATTCATTAGGAAAATCCAATCCATATCCATGTCCATGCAGTGCATACGTACTTTTGAAGAAAAAGTATCGCAGATTTGTGCTGGTGTGACATTATATTTTAGATTGAGTTTTTGTGAAACAAGGAAGAGAATGTGTTTCAGGTCCAGATTGTGACCAATCACAGCGGACCACTGGCCTTCACTTTCCTGAGAAAAGCCACAGGTCTGTGGTTAGCACAGACAGCTGAGGAAGACGAGCGGCGGAGGCTAACCTGAAACTTCCCGTGTCTTCGTCACCGGTTTCTGCTTACACAGTGAAACAGCCAAAAGAAAGTCTCGTTCAATCATTCTATGGTCACGCCATCCACGTTCATTTGCGTCCATATTGTGAGACGTGAGCTCCGTAAACAATTAACATGTGAGCGCAGGCTGAGGGGGCGGGGGTATGGGGGGCGAAAGTTCCATCACTGCGGGAAGGGGGAGCAGAAAGAGCGAGCCCAGCGCTCACATTCGAAAATTTCACAAAGTGAGTAAGTGCAGCTTTAAGGTTCCTGAGGATTTTCAAAATAAAACTGCAATAAATTCACAAATATTTCTAAAAACATGACTCAAAAATATGGCAGTAAAACATCATGGATATATTATAATAATGTAAAACATATAAATTGAGTCACATGATCAGAGTCACATGATCTCACATGTTCTGTCTGTTGCAGGTTGTCGTTTTACTCCGGACACTCCTCTTTCTCCATGTACTGCATGTTGTTCCTCGCTGTGAGTACGACTCTTGTTTTGTACAAAGAACTATTAGCATTTCACTCTCTCAGGTCGTCAGCACAGTCAGTCTGACACCTGTTTTTGGTCAGCTATCATAAAAAACAGGTGGGGAATAATATGAACTTCCTGTTTCTATGGTAATTTCAGGAACAGGAAATTATTGACTAAATACAATATACTAGTGTGAATATAAAGGTACTTTTTACTGCAGGCTAACTTTGAATGGACAGTGCCTTCTATATACTTTCTGTTGGACTGGTTCAATTCTCACGTGAACGAACAGAGCAGTCAATTTGACGGCTTTTAGATTTGGAAGCGTAATCCCTCGGCTCTTGTACATTCTTGGTCTTCATAATTTTGTAACTTCTCCCTGTCGTTCTTTTTTACACAAGAAGTAAGAGCAAGTTATCTTTCAATTCAATTAGCCCCAAATCACAACAGTAATTATCTCAGACTTTACAGTGTTGTCAATTTGCCAACAGAGATCAGAGAATCAAACCGTTCAAACACAAGAAACACATTGATAGAACCACACACACAAAGCTAATGGTCCATAAGCGGCAGAGACCAATGTCCATGAATGTTGATAATGTCCATAAATGTCCTTAAACGTCTTGGATCATCACTGTCCTTAGACTAGACCCTCCTGCATCGGCAAGAAACAACCTAAAAAACAATAGGTAAAAAGTGAGAAACCTCGGTACGGCCCACATGAAAGAACCTGCTCATTACAACACAGCGTTCACAGTCAGTAGTAAAAAACATATAAATGACTTCCACCAGTTTATTTGAGATATTTTCTGAATCCCTTTGATATGAATGGGAGCAGTCAGAATTCTGGGTGTTCTAGTGTTAAACAGTGTTGGGCACGTTACTTTGAAAAAGTAATTAGTTATAGTTACTAGTTACTTCTCCCAAAAAGTAACTGAGTTACTAACGGAGTTACTCCACTATAAAAGTAACTAGTTACCAGTAAAAGTAACTATTGCGTTACTTTTTCGTTTTGTTCTGGAACATAATGTGCACTCGAGGTGCGCATTTTTACCTTTAACAGTGCCAATATTTCCATCTAGAAAAGTCTGTTTTGCTGCTGAAGTCCTGTTCACTCTTCATCTCTCTCTGTGTAAGCACTAAACACCACACCCGCCACTGTGAATGTGGAAACACCGGTGACGAGCGGTGAGGCTGGTGAAGCACTGACTTCAGTCCAATCAGATGAACATATACATCATATAAATCAAGTGGACAATTTGTTTGGCTACAGCAAAATATGTTTTATGCCTGCATTGTTTGTTCATATAAAACGCAAAACTATGAGTTATGGGTCTTACCTTATAGCTATACCTTATAAATGACCTGCACAATCCACTTCGGTTCAGACCAGTTCCTTGTTTAAATCCAGTTAATGGTTTGAGCGTAGATATGTAATCCTCCATTTGGAAATGAGTCCAATGAGTTTTAAAAAGTAAAACAAAACGCGTGTGTCCTCCATAAACTCCTGTGTTTTGCTAGCGGCAGCCGAGTGCATCCAATTTCTAAAATCAACCGTCTTACACTTCACCTCTCTTTCTTATCATTCCTATAGTAATTGAAAAATTACCCTATGTGCATTTTACATTATGTAAAAATGTGTTATATGTATGTTAGCCAAACCTGTTGCTGTCCTTAGCAGATAAACCAGGAGGAGAAAGGAGCTTATCGATGGAATTGTATGCAGCCGACTTCTGCGCTCACACGCGCTCCTCTGAGGCTGACCTCACGGTGATACAAGCCGTGGATGAGCGCGATTAAGACCCATATTTGTTTCAAAAACACAATTTATGAGCCATCCTCTCAACTGTAGACATGTGGATTGTAAAGGAAATATGTTTTACATCAGCCAATAATTGCTGAGAGGTTTTCTCATCCTCCCTTCTCTCATGACAACACGTTCATTGTGCGTCTTGAGTAACGCGCAGTAACGGGATGTCGGAAATGATAACGGCGTTATAGTTACTGTCAAAGTAATTAGTTAGATTACTCGTTACTGAAAAAAGTAACGCCGTTATTCCCATCACTGGTGTTAAACGAGTTGTTTTTGGGTTCAGCAGTGATGTGACCTTAAACCCGGTGTAATGCCAGGATTGTCTTTGTGTAAATATCTCACAGACCTCGATGCGGTGATGAGGATAATGATAATATTGCTGTGTGTGTGTGTTGCAGCTGTATCTACAGGCGCGTCTGCAGTACGAGTGGGCGCGTCTGCTCAGACCCACGCTGCAGTTCTTTCTGGTCGCGGCCTCGGTCTACACGGGTCTCTCCAGAGTCTCTGATTACAAACACCACTGGAGCGACGTGCTGACGGGCCTCCTGCAGGGGGCGCTCATGGCCATCCTACTGGTGAGAGAGACCACTGCACTGCCACGTGGAGATAGAGCTGTTAATGATATGATTGGTATTTCTCTTCAATAATCGTTTTAACTGACTTTGGTGTCAACAATCTTATATTGTTAACTATACAATACATACACAAGATAAGAGAACCTTTTTGTCCACTTTGGGGAAAAACAGGACGGTAGTAAGAGCACATAAAATAAGGTTTATCTTATCTGTGCCACAGTGGGGAAAATGTCAATGTCATTGTTGCACACATTACAGCAGAGTAGGAAATAAGAGCACTCAGATTACACACAGTTAAGATATTAATACTAAGAATGCTTTTAAACTTCTCATTTATTGATACCTGTACTTTAAATCAACACATAACAGCCAATACCTAAAATGTATGCCCTGGTTTTGTTTGGATTATGTCTTTCAGTTATTCCAATGTGGTCTTACTGCAAATAAACTGAATCTCGAATCACACTGAACTTTTAATATTTGTATTTTAAAAGCTGATGTGGATCGAGCCTTGTTCTTGTTATTTTCACTGACTTTGAAATCTTTCGCTGCAGGTTTTCTTTGTCTCCGACTTCTTCAAAAAACCGGGTCCAGAGAATATCATGAAACACGAAGACATCCCACACACGACTCTTCAGGAAACAGCGGCCAACGGGAACACCTTGGAAAGTCCCAACTAGGACCGAGCTTTTCCTCCTCATCCCTCGCTGCTCTTTGGCCTTTTTGCAATAATCGCCTTCGCTGCATGGATTCTCTTCAACTCGAGACCGAGCTCAACCACAGAAGCCTTCGTTTCAAGCATTTCTGACGATGGAAATGTACAGTATTCTCTTGAGTTGCATTGAAGGAAAAAACCACTGTTGAAAGACCTGCCTTTGAATGTATGTGTAACCACTGGGGCTGAAACATAATGGCTACTTTTTAAATGAATCTCACTTTTATTATGTTTTTATTTTATATATTTAAGTGTGTTGCTGGAGGTAATTGTTTATATTTATTACATATCCTTAAAGTTGCTAATGACCAGTAACTCAGTGTTTGTTTTATTACAGCCCTCATCATTTCTAGCAAATAAACAAGTAACAGTCCCTTACACTGCAAAAAATGATAAAATATGTGGTAATAAATGCTTGAATCTTGTGTTTTTATCTTAATTTGAGAAGATTCTGAATAAAAACAAGGTTCTCCAATAGGCTAAAGCCATAAAGTCTTATTCCAATAACTTGCTATATTTTGTCATTTCAAGTTATTTCTTTTATCTTTTTAAAATAAGCTAATTTTGTTTTGTCCGTTGGCAAATCTAGTTTTAATTCAGTCAGAATGTGTTCTCAAATTAAGACATTTTGCCAAATTTGAGCAATTTTTCACTTATTTTTCCATCACTTTTTGCAGTGAACCTGGGGCCATTCTTCTGAGCATTTTTATATTGTATGATTAAGAATTTATTGAAAAATGTTGTTTGTCCATTTGTATAAGTTACTGTGGTGTATATTTAAGGTGGTATGATCCGCTCGGTGCAGTAGTAAAAACATGTATCATATCGTGATAATATCAAACTGTTTGAAAGCTTTAAATCAGACATAATGAAGTTTCCGTGTTGCCTCCGCTGAGACCCGCTGCCGTCAGCTTCAGGTGAATCTTATAAAAATACTGAGAATAAAGGATTGTGTGTAATCTGTACGTGAATGCATCGACATACAGACCTTTATTGAAATATTAAATATGTACAAAACTAAAAATAAAGCCTCAGTTCTTGACTTCAAATGGAATCATGGGAAAACGTGGCCACAGTTTCTATACATGTTATAAAAAGACATTCTTTCAATGATTTTACAAGATCCAGGATCGGTGATCACAGGTACAGGCTGGCAGCGAAGACGATGTCCCTCTTGATCTTTGTTATCCCTGAAAAAAACAGACACAGTTAAAGTTGCACTCGTTTCATGGACATTGTACGATTTAAAGTAGGAAGAAACAAAGTATTATTTCAAGCCAATTTTTTCAAACTTCTAACTTGCCCGGCCCTGACTACAACACTATACGCCCGAGTGCCGTCATCACCTCTGCTCCTGAATCCTGACAGAGGAGGGACGGGTCAAATGCACAGGGGAAAAGTTCCTTATGGGAACAATAAACCTTGTTCTACAATATCTGTAATTTATGACAGTGTTCAGTTTATACAGTACATTAGTGTCATAAAAAAGAGGGCACTTTCCACTAAACTCTTGTGAAGAGCATTTCTGATCAAAGCTTTTCAGGTCCAATAGATTTGGTTCTAAGTTTAGTGAAGGCAGAACCTCGGGGTCACACACTGCTCCTTTAGGCGCTGGGACTTTTGTACCTTCTGCAAACTTGTTTTCCAGCTCCGTGTTGCCGATGGCCTTCGCAGCGGAGCACATCTGCCGCAGGACTTCCTCCAGGCGCCGCATGCAGCGGATGATGCTTCCTAAAGACAAACAGTTTAACATCGAGCTGTGACTCAGTCTGACAGAGGTTCTACCTTCGAACACGTCCGTCATCTTGCAGATCTGAGCGAAGGTGGCGCCGTTGGCCCAGGCGTAAACCACGTCCATCAGGTGCGGCTTGAACTGGTTCATGTAGCTCTCCTCATCCACCTCCAGCTTCGCATCCGCCGACACCTTCGCGATACGTTTGGCACATTCCTGAGGAGGAAGTAAATATGAATAAAGTGTAATAACCATGACTATGATCATAATAATAAAATGATAATAATAATATTGTCTTATACCTGCATCTGCCGCAGAGGAGCCGCGAGTTGTTCTGTGAGTTTCGGCATCTCACTGGCCTAGAACAAAGCAGTAATAAATGTGAAACTGTTTATTTTCTTTTAAAGTGTAACCAACTCAGTTACTTGTTTTACATCGTCTTACATTCTCCTGAAACACGAAGCAGGACAGCAGCGCAGTGGCCTGTTCCACCGTGAGGTCATTAAAAAGTCCATTAAACACCATCTCTGTCAGAAGCAGCTCGTCAGCGCTGAAACACACAAGGAAGACTTTAACAACAATACACAAAACACACACACACACACACACAGGAGCACGTAGGCACACACAGGGACACACAAAAACACACAAACCTGCTGATCTCACACGCGACCCTCCCCTTCATCTCGATGACGTCAGACGGACTGGCGAACCCGAGTCTGCGCAGGACCCTCTTCCTGCACTTGAGCTGATCCAACTGCAGAACGGTGCGAGCCTTCTTCAGCTCCCGTTTGGCCGTCCGCACATCTGCAGCAATCTGACAACACACACATAAGAAAGTCATATGTATTTATATAGCACATTTCACAAATCAAGGTCAGAGAAGTTTGTTGTGGTGGTAATGACAGAAGCCTCCAACCATCACTCATTACATTCAGACATATTGTACTTATGTCTGAGCACCTACACGGACACGGGGAGAACATGCAAACTCCATACAAGGAAGACCTGGAGGTGGAATCAAACAGAACTTTCTTGCCGTCACTGCGTCATCGCAAATGAGCAAGCAATGATTAATGCAGGGAATTTATCGGTCTTGTCTCACTGCATTCTCCAAATCAAAAAAAACAAAACAAAAAAAGTACAAATGTAGGTTTTCAGCTAACTCAAATAAAATACCGGATTTGTTTTATAATTTGGACAGACACTCTGGGAGAAGAGACACATACCGACTGTTAGATTAGGAAGGTTCATCTTGTCTTCTTAGTAGAAACACCAGACAATAGTAAGTTAACGTTGTAATTACATTGACAACCTTATGACAAAGACTGAAGTTTACCGTCAAAACACGTCAAGGTAATAACATCGCTAACTTACTATCGTCTGGTATAGAAGTTCAGCAAACACCTTTACCCTCCACCTGACCCTAGATCAGCTCTTTCTCCTATACAACTTATGTGATAGGCTGTGTAAATACACCCTGTACAATGTCCCTAATCCACAAAACCTATGAACTTATCGGACTTTTTAATCACACTATCAACAAAGCAATGAGCAGCACATTCTTCTAAACCAGAGTAAAGACAGAGGCACAGGAGCAGAGTCTCACCAGGGCCTTCTTCTCGCAGAGGGAGTAGGCCGACTCCAGCTTGGGGTCGCTGTGCAGAGGGTGGCTGTACATGCGATGCTCGAAGGCCTCCACTTTCTGGATCACCTTCTTCAGCGCCGGGTCCTTGATGCCCATGTCGTCGATGGGGTCCAGCAGCGGGACGCCGTCCGGGAAACGCTTCTGCACTTCCTGGTGACAACATAACGTAACACAGTCAAAACATGAATCCGTTTGAACAATGTGTATTTGAGTCGCAAAAGTGGTGGGAATAACGAATAACTAGAAATTCTAGTTTACTCTGGTAATTTACATCTGAGGTTTATGTTTCTCTATGACAAAGGTCGGGAACCTTTTTAGCTGAGAGTCAAAAAAGTATTTCTGTGAGCGTCATACATATTTTTATTACTGTGAATATGTGTGATTTAACATGTAAACATTAGTCTTAGAGTGTCATATTTTGTTTAATACATTTTGTAGACTGATTAAATCAAACACATTAAATATTATTACTATGAATACCAACTAAGATTCTTTTGACACAATCATCAAAAGAGCCACATCTGGCCCCAGAGCCATAGGTTCCTGACACCTGCTCTATGACGTCTGCTTGTTGTGAATTTAGGTGTCCAAACCGGTCCAGAAAGTGGAGTCCGCTCTGCTCTTGCTGGGTCAGATAGAAAACCTGCAGCCACAGCAGCTCTTTCTGGACCGGTTTGGACACCTCTGCGAGTCTAGTCTGTTTTATGTGAATAATGTCTGTGAATTATAGTCTGTAATAAGGTCCTGTATCCTGAATGTTCAAGGAGTTTTTACTCTACCCTCCTCAGTGTTTGCTTCAGTTACTGTGCAGACTATAATGCATGTGACTTTTGAGTTGAGTCTTATTTTCACATGAAAATAAGACTCAACTTATTTTGAGTCTTATTTTCAAAAAATATCACAAACATATCACAAAATCGAATCACAACAATCGCTGCATCACAATATGTTAAGAATTACACTAATATTTGGGCCACGAATTGTGGCCCAAATATTGCAATAATATCAAAGTTTGTTCCCAGCTCTAACTCGTACCTGGATGGACTTGAGCATGAGTTGCCGGTTGTCGAAAGGCCTCAGGTCTTTGGGGATGTACAGACGAACAGAGCTGATGGAGGTGAGGAGGTGGAGCATCACTGGCACCACCTGAACCACATCGAGGCGTCAGAAGCAGCACAGACGTCTCCTCAGAGTTCATATGTAGTAAATGCTCTCACCTGCATCTCCCCCGTCTCCCCCTGAGCTGCGGGTTTGGCTGCTTCTGTTGCAGCATCTTTGACGCTGTCTTTGCTACAGTGAAGCAGAACCTCCACCACGTACAGGGGCTCCGACTCTGCAGTGGACTGACAACAGACATGGCTCATTTCAAACAAACGTCTTGAGTTTAATTTTGCAAAACTCAAACAATTATTTTTGCATAGCTCTAAATTGCAACAGTGGTTTTCCTCAGAGGGCTTTGATCTGTGTTAGAGAAAAAATAACTTTGTAGAGAATTAAACGGTTCAAGAAATGCAATGATACAGAACACAGAGCCATAGGGGCAAATGACCAATGTCCATAAAAGTAAAAAACACATAGAAAAATGTCCATAAACTTTTCTAAATGTTCAGGATCTTAACTACTTTCCTTAGACCCCCCTGCATCGGCAAAGAACACCTACAGTATAAAAACCCAGTGGGAGAAAAGTGAGACACTTCAGGGAGGCCCACATTGAGAGAGCTACTCCTGCAGACGGACAGGCTGAAGATCCAGAACTGAGGCCAAAGAAAAAAAAAAAACAGAATATTGAGGTGCTGTATACCTTAGTGTTAGCTTTCTTGCAGAAATTGACCACAACCCCCCAACCGAAGTCGGCCTCTTCCTTCTTCACCTGCAGAAAATACATACAACTTTAAACAATTGCTATATATAAATATATAAATGGAGTTATATGTGAAAGGCGGACTCTGACTTTGACGAGACGACCAGGCTGTAGAAAGGGAAGGCAGAACTTCGGTTTGTGGATGAACTCTTGGATTTCCTTCTCGAGTTTGGCCAGCTGTTGTCTGATCTTGTAGTAAGTAATGACACTGTCTTCGTTGGGGATCTCGATGGCGTGGTACTGCTCCTCCAGCTTCGTCATCTCTGCACAAATATAAACGTTAAAATCGTTCAATCCGACTCAACAATATCCTCAGCACAAAACTGCGGCCTCACTTTCGACGACGCCCGGCAGAGCTCTGTAGTGCTGGAACTGGTAAAAGGACTTCTCCAACATGTACTCGGGGTTGATCTCCTCCACACGCAGCAAGTTCAGGACCATGTTGTAGGTCAGATGGAAGGCACTGTTTAAAGGGTCCGCAGAGCCCTGGGAGTGAGAAGAAACGCATGACATAATATTAGTAAAAGCTGTAGCCAGTGTTTTTAATCGGATATTTATACTGTAATGTTTGCTGTGTTTTTTTTTCCAATGGGATTTTAGGCCTTGCCAAGGGACTACAGTTGGAAATGAGTTGTGTAGCTAATACATGTACAGTAATAATTATGTGTCACTATTATGGGCTTGAAAATCTATGGTTAAACACTCTCTTTATATTGGGATGTCTTTGTAAATGCATTTGGCTCCACATGCCTGCTTCAATAGCCTGATTGAGCTAGCTTATTAGCCTCTTCTGCATTAAGGCTAACACTGCAGGTTGTGCTTGTGTTGATGCATATGACTGTGCACCTTCAGCAGCTGCTTCCCGATAGCTGGGCTCATCTTCTCATCCACCATAAATATAACGATTCCTCGCTCGTCCATTCCTCTTCTTCCGGCACGACCAGACATCTGGATGTACTCCCCCGAGGAAATCTGAATCAAGCACAACATTGTCTCGTGAAATAGTCAGTGCTACATTTCCATTGAAATGCAAGTAAATTAGCGATTACCTCAAGATAACTGCACAGAGAAATAGTGTAGAGGATTAGAATGATCATCTAGTGAGTAATGACCACAATATTAATGTATAAAGTATGTGTTTTAACCTTTTTTTTTTACATTTGAATTGTTATTATTATTTTTTGTCTGTGCTGTAGTCTCCAGTAGGAAAGTGTCTTCAAACTCCTGATATTTTATATATATATATATATATATATATATGAAACTCCCACGTGGACTTTAAAAGAGGTAATTTTACTTCCAGAAGGTTGTGTCCTGCCATGTGCTGAGCTTTTACATTTTAAAACATATCGCTAACATGCTACTGGTAAAATTAGAGACATTCTGGATGTGCTGTACTGAAGTGAATCATAACTCCAGATTGTGTGAGGGTCATATTGTATCATGTATGTAAAGAAGTCTAGGTGTGTTTGGTCTTACTTAGAATACACACTGTATTTTTGCATTAGTGATACATTGTTAAAACGCAGTTTCAGTGAACTTACAAAACGATGATTTTTTCCGTCAAACTTGCGAGCGCTGGTGAACAGCACAGTTCGAGCCGGCATGTTGATGCCCATCGCAAACGTCTCAGTGGCAAACAGCGCCTGGAAAAGGAACAAAGAATAAAATCAGAAACAAAGGCGTAAAAACAATGACACTGAAACTAAACAGTTTAACACATTAAACTAAAATCCAATAATCTGCAGCCTCAGACTACACAGTTTGTTACTTGTGTGTGAACTTTCAGTAAAACAAATCTAAAAAAAACCTAAAATGTGCAAAAGTTGAAGGTGTATCAACACTTTCAAAGGACTATGTGAATACAACATGATCTACAGTAACTTTGATGCCTGGGATAAGATCACGTGTAACGATATATTCACCTTGATGAGACCTTCAGAGAACAGGATCTCGATGGTTTCTTTGAGGATCGGCAGAAGTCCTCCGTGATGGATCCCGATGCCTCGCTTTAACAAAGGCAGAACATGTTCAACCTGAAACAAAACATCAGATCAAAATAATGCATGAGCAAAGTAAGATCTGTGAGGACTTCAGAGCAGCGTTTTTAATATCAAAGAACATTCATTTCACTTTTATAATTCTGAAAACTTTATTCCCAAGAGACACATGCCGTTATCAGCCGTTCTAACATCCGCGACCTCAAACTTCTGTGGTCCTGACTTAAAAACTTAATCATTTCAATATCTCATGTTCCCATAACCCCATGTGTGCGACGATCCAAGAAGTGATTGTCGACAGTAACAGAGAGCTGCAGTTCGTACCTGAGGGAGTTTCTTGTCTTCGTCTGAGAGACAATCGATCGCGTTGTTGAAAACCTCCTCCACAAGACGCTTCTCCTCATCTGGGAAAAACACAGATTTAAGAAACATTCTGCAGGATTCAGGAGAGATGAAAGATCATTCATAAAATAGATTATATGCACAGAAAACAGTTTATTTAGTGACAGAATATCAATCTAAACAGCAGTTTAATTTTGTTATTTTGTTTTTAATTTGTCCCCCACTATTTCCTCGTGTTAAAAAATACAAAAAGCAAATCAAAGAGAAAACAAAACAAAAAACACCAAGAATCGACTTTATATAATCTGTCTCTGTTCTGACATTACACATGGTCAATAAAATAATAACATGATGGATATATCAATAACTAAATCTTCTGTTATTATTTGTAGGCTTCACATTCTTCTGACTGCAGTCTAGTTTACAATTTCCTATCTTTTTTTACCCCTTTCCCCTTGTTTTCATAAGAAGCTCTTTTCAATCTAGCTTTAAGGTCATTGTTACTATTATAGAAGCATTATTATTAATCATTATAATTAAGTTTTCTGTCCATTTTAATTAAACCTGTTGAACAAACCTTTGTTGAAGTCCAGCTTGGCGACCTGCAGCGCGTACGCCTCACACTCCTTTTTGCTGAAGCTGAAGATGATCACAGGCTGGAAGTTTCTCTCCATGATCATTTTCACTATTTTGAAAACAGTATTTGGTCCTGAGGAGATTCAAGACTTCAGTTAGGGGCTCCCTTTATACAAGAATAGGTGAAAATAAACACAGGATAAAAAATGTGAGACGCACCTTTAGTCCCTCCTTTGCGTCCTCGTGGATCCCATTTGCCGCCGCTGCTGCCTCCAGAGTCACCGGCGTCTCGTAAAACCTGCATCGCGGTATTGAAGTTGTCCTCCCTGAAGTCGCCCTGAAAATTACATTATTTGTTTAATCTTCTTTGTTTATTTGGACGGACCCAAAAACCTTTCCCAAAACTTCAACTGATTTGCTGCATGTTTAAGGGACGAATTGGACACAAATAGTTTTTCTTATTCTAAAAATACTCACATTCTCGTCTACAACAAGGTGGAGTCCATCGCCCCCTGCTGGAAATATATAATGCTGCAGAGGAGTCGGACGGTACTCGGTGTAGACGACGTGGCAAGGCTGGGGAAAAACAGAAAACAGAAAGTTACACATATTATTGAACGATAAATTCAAGGATGTAATTCTGTGAACTTTGGTTTAGTACCTGTTTATGGAGGTAGCAAATCCACTCAGCGAACTGTCTGGCGTTGGGAATAGTGGCTGACAAGAAAACATAATGCACATTGTCGGGGAGAAGGATGATGGTTTCTTCCCACACGACACCGCGCTCTACGGAACAAAACACAAATTAATGTTATAGGTATGTTTTTTTATGTAAATAACAACAGTGCTGCTCATGTTCCTGCCTGAAATAAATAAATAATTAAAAACGAATAACAATTCTTTAACGTTTACATTTTTTGAAACTTTTCTATATATGGAGATTTGTTGTTGTGGAATCAGAGCAGCCTTTGAAGTGGGCAGTGATTCATATACGCTTCACTTTTCTTATACCGTTTATTCAAAATGTCAAAATATCAATTCTTGAGTCTGTTTTTGTCATTTATTTAGACAATTTATCATCAAATCTGGAATATTTTCAGTAAAAGTTCCACAATGACAAGATGAAAACGCAATTTAAAAAAAAAAAACATTTGCTGAAAAGATACTATAAAATTATAACGTGCATTGTCCCCATCAAATAAATAAATAAATAAATAAAAGTGGCATAAAACTCAGGAGAATGACAGAACTCTTCCACAGAATAATAAACCAATGAATACTTTACCTGAATCTCTCATGTAGTGGATCTCGTCAAACACGACCCAAGCCACTTCTCTCATGATCTCAGAGCCTCGGTACAACATGCTCCTTAGAATCTGGAAATGGAGAAGAAAGAACATCTATGATCTCTAGATTACTATAAGTGGTTAGAGCCGGGGTGTCCAAAACCACTTTAGTTAAGCTGACTAGTCTAAGGGCCGACAACATGGATAGTAATGTAAGATTTCATAACACTTTGAAGCAACTTTTGTTAAAGTTAAACTCATCATTCTATCAATGTGCAGAAGCCAGTACTTTTCCCTTGTTGTGTCTATCTGAAGGCCAAGCTACAAGCACACCGTGGAAGCTGCTGATTGGAGGTCTCCATGCCTCCGGTCTGTATAATACACTTGCATTCTGTTGTTTGTGTTGCTCGTGCTGTCTCTACCATCGACAATAAAACATGTCTTCTGTCAGAATGAAAGACGCGATCCCAGACTATGTCATCTTCTTCAGGTGGTGGAAGGATGCGGGCCTTGTCTGTAACATCTAGTGAACAGAAGACTATTTTTTTTTTTTTCACAAAAATGTGGGGTTTTTTTCAAGCCAAAACTGAAAAACCTCAAGAGAAACCATGCATCTGGACCAGCACACTTTTCACACACATCCCCTGATTCCACTCAGACCTGCTGTGAGCTGCTGAGACATGGACAACACCAGCGTCCTCTTTTGCATGGACACCATTTGGAACCATTGGATTTCTGAATTTGGACATAATTTGGACTGAATTGAATTTCTGAATCTGGACATTAAAGCTGAAACGTGTGATTGAAAGGCACGTCACAGAAGAATTCATGGCTCGACACAAATGCAGCCTGAAGAAACCAACACGGAGAAGTGGGAGAGACTGTTTTCAAAGCAATATCTGGAACCACCATCGACTGATGAAGTTTGGTATTTTACTGAAGATTGTTGACAAGTTTTATGAAAGATCCGAACATGTTTTATGAGTTTTTGAAGTACCGAGTGAAGTACCGAGTTTAAGTATTGAGTTATGATGTTATGTTGTTGTTTATCGATCCTGATGGTCACACGTGAATGTGTGACCAGAGGGGGGAATGTGAGATTTCATAACACTTTTAAGCAACTTTTGTTAAGGTTAAACTCATCATTCTATCAATGTGCAGAAGCCTGTACTTTTCTCTTGTTGTGTCTATCTGAAGGCCAAGCTACAAGCACACCGTGGAAGCTGCTGATTGGAGGTCTCCATGTCTCCGCTCTGTATAATACACTTGCATTCTGTTGTTCGTGTTGTTCGTGCTGTCTCTACCATCGACAATAAAACATGTCTTCTGTCTGAATTAAAGACGCAATCCCAGACTATGTCATCTTCTTCAGTAAAACTGTTATTACTGGATCTGGGCCGTTCTGGGCTTTAAAATGTGGTAGGATATGAAACCAATAAACTAAACTCCGCTCCGGTGAGTGGACTGAGAGACCCACAACAATCGTAAAGCACTTTGTAATAGGCGCAATGTAAAAGAGAAAGATTAAACTAAACACCACAGCTACATTAGTGCCATATAAGGATTTTTATGACACAATCAAAAAAACAATTGTTCATTGCTTTTTGGGTCTTTATGGCATCACTGAACTGTTTTAATTAAGTTACTGGAGAAATAGTTGTTTGGGGTCAGTATATTTCCACAAACAAAGCATTTCTGATAGACAAGCCGAGTTGACAATTGTGACACAGTAATAGTCCTTGCATACTATGACAACATATTTGGGAGAAAGTACCTCTGTGGTCATGACGAGGCAGGAGGCTGTGGGGTTAATGGTGACGTCTCCGGTCATCAGACCCACATCCTGAAACTCTTCATACATTTCTCTGTATTTCTGGTTGGACAAAGCTTTGATGGGACTGGTGAAGATGACCCTCTGTTTCTCTCGGAGTGCGAGTGCAATGGCATATCTGCAGAGAGAGCAATAGAGTTGGTGTTTGGGTGATGTAAAACCGTGCTACATTTGTGGTACGGAAAGTAAAATTAGTCAAGAGACGAACAAACGCAATATCAAGATTACAATAAAACAAATGTCAATGTTTTTACCATTTACCAACAGTCCCCCAGGAGCAAATTTGGTTAAAGGCACAAAATATCTGACATTATCAGAGACAATTAATCTGGTAGACATTTATTGAGTCAGAAAATAGCAAATCGCAAAACACGTATTTAAAATCTAAACATTCATAAATAGATTATAGATTTTTTTTTTTTTTTATTCTGGTTTTGATCTTTAGATGTTATTATTATATGACTTGGACTGTACGCGCGCTCTGATTGTCTGATTACCGGTCTGATATTTTCCCATCTCGGACCGTTACCATGACAATCTGTCCGCAGCACGTATCACACAAAACCAAGTCGGACATGAACATATTTCACAAATATCTCAAAAGCATTGGTAAAGACACAGACGAGAGTCATATAATAAAACATTTATTAACCTCGCTTGCTCGTTCTGTACAGAGAAATATCAGACCTGCCTTTTTGCACAGACCTCGCCACGGCTCAGTCTGTACGTTAAGGCCGCGGTCTGATATTTCTCCATACAGACCTCGCGCTCGGTTAATTAGCCGTTAATATTGAGAAGATTTGTCAATGCCATGAAAGTATAGTTTGTCTTATTGTAGGGAGAAAACATCTCTTTTCAAACGTATATAAACGTAAGGAATATTTCTATAAATAATGTAAAACAGCAAATGAAGCACTCACTCCGCACAGACGGTCTTTCCCGCAGACGTATGAGCCGATACAAGGACAGACTGGTTGTTATCAATGCAGAGAAGAGCTTCACGTTGGAAGGGGTCAAGAATAAACGGGTATTCCTACAAATCAAAACAAAAGCACAATTAGCCACTAACAGAACCTAGAAAACTTCACAGAAACAAGTATTTATCTTATTATTAAGTATTATTATTTATTTAATAATACCTTGGCAGCTTTTCCAACTCTGGGACGTAAAGGCTTGTATTCATCACAAGCAGGAAGAGCGACCTGTGAGAGTGAGTTACAATTAGTTCAATACTGTTCACATTTTAAATGAACTCCAGATGTTAATACCTCGTGGGAGCATCCTTCCACTGTGTCAACCTGTTCAACTTTCACCTGAGGCATAAGCTCTGCAAGACTGAAATAATAATACAGTTAATTCCACACCATCCAACATTACATGCCAACACTAGAACTCCAAAAGACGTCATTTTGACTGCTACCAATCAAATCAATAGAATTCTGAGAAGTTCATGCCAAAGTGTATAGTTTTAGATCAGAGTTTATTTAATATAATATATAAATACTTTTTATCAAACCTTCATTCATATTAAAATAATAACTTGAAATACAGATTTTTTTTTTTTGAGAGGCTCATGCTAAAGACCAAATGCTAACTGCTGCAGGTAAACAATGCGTTGCTATGGTAACTACCACTGGTTCTTCCCTCGAGGAAAACCAAGTAGGCTCGGTTCAGAACCAGCGACTGAAACAGGGATTCTACTCATTTTAAAAAAAATAAAAAGGAATAAAGTACAAATCAATACAGACAAAGAATCAAAGTTGGGAAGAGCAAAAAGGTATATTGCACAATTTGCACTGCTTATTTACACTTCAAAACTAAACCGTCATTAGACTGCTCAGGAGTTCTACTGTTAAAGGGATAACTCATACTTGAGTTCGTTGGTGGAAACGGTTTCATTTCGAGGTTTCTTCGTCAACAGCACATCCTCTGCAGAGTCTCCTCCTCCTCTCTTTACTCGGCCAGATGGACCAACATCGTTATCAGAACCAGCTTTGTTTGAAGATATACTAGAACATAAAACTTTAGTGTCAGTTAAACACGCTGAGGTTTCAGATTAATAAAATAACACATGTAGCTAAACACACTAAGATCATGGTTGAAATGGCCACACAGAGCAGAATATAATCATTAACTGTTCAAGGCAGTTGTGCGTCTACAGTTATGGAACATCATGTATATTTCTAAACGCTGTGCCCGTTAACGAACTAGCTTAGCATGAAGCTAACAACACGAGAAGCGCGTGAAGCCGTTGCCTCGGTTTGGACACGTGCGCGCGGGCACGTCAGACTCTGGTGTGTGCGGGTGTGCATGTTTTACCCGGTGTCTTTAGCAGCTGGTAAAGAGCTCTTCTTGTTAGTATTTGTTTGTTCATCGTCAAACACGCTGAACAGCCCGTCTCCGAAGGCGTCCGCCATGATGCCCACAATGCATCTGTCAGAGCGCCTCTTCCGGTACGGTGGCCCGGCTGTTCAAAGCCCGTGCCATGATGTGAGCGTTCTGTGTTTCTATTGAGTCTATCATCGGTGTTTCTGCTGTATCAGCTCGTTTACTGCTTCGTTTCACGCGCGGTCATATGTCTTCATATGAAGTCTAGTTTATAATTGATAAAGGAACTAGAGCAGAATGGGAAAAAAGAAGAAATCAGCGGCAGCAGCTCCAGCGGTGCCCGCGGTGGTGCCTCCTGCTGCAGCCCGTCCAGGACCAGGTCCTGGGACCACAGCAGACGAACAGAAGGGGAAGACCTCCAACAGAGCCAACAAACAAGGCCAGGAGAGCAAGTCAAAAGGTTTGTTACAAGTTTTCATACAGTGATAAACAAGAGGCTGTCAGTGAGAGTCTGATATGTAAACAATGAATGACACTTACGTTGTCTCAACATATCCAGATATACAGTCTATGATCCAGACTAGTCCGTAATCTATGATGTTTTTACAGTTCCTAAGAACTACAGTTTTGTTAATGTCGCACAAGTGGACGCGGGTGCTACAGACAAGTCTGTTCTTAAAGTAAGTATGGTTAACCAACCTGCTCTGTGTGTTTTATTAAGATTAATCTTCAAAATATAAATTTTTAACACAGGTTTTCATCCAAGGAGACCTTGAGAAGAAAATAATTCGATTGATAAATGACTTTCGGCAAGAGTGTGCAGACAAGGGGCCAGTATCTGGCCGGCTTACTACTAAGAAATTATTGGTAATATTTTGTCCAGATTTCTAGAAAAGTGTAAGTAATACATCTATGTTAATGTTGATAAACCTTATTTGTATAAAAGGATCTTTACTTGGCCCTGGAAAAGTTCAATTTCAAGAGGGAACATATTGAAGAGTCGATGAAGAGTAGTGTACTCTACGGAGGAGATCTTCACTCTGCTCTTGATTGGCTTTGCCTCAACCTGGCAGACGGTCAGTTCAACAAACTATGACAGATTCATAAACATGTTTTACATTGTATCTCACGACACATTGCTCTATAGATGAACTGCCAGGAGGCTTTTGTCAACAAATGCAGGAGGAGAGTCAAAAGTCAAGGCCTAAGTTTCAGCCTTTGGTTCAACAGAAACCTCCAACAAATAGTGTTAAAGCTCCTCCGAACACAACAAAACCAACCAAAGTCTGTAAAATACTATTACTACAATGTGCAAACCTTCATGACAAACATATTCACTGTATCTGAACATCTTCAGGTTGAAGATGAAGCTGCTACAGTGAAAAACTGGATCCTCAGGTACGCAGAACAAAGCTCTGACGAAGATGACTGTGAGGAGGAGGAGGCTGCTACCAAAACCTCACACAATCCTGAGCTGGACGAAAAGTTTGATCCAGTAAGTCTCACAAAATCTGTCTCTGTTTTTACTCTATACTAATTATAGGTGTTTTTATTTTGTAGAATGATCGATATTTGGTCCTCACTGCTCAACTATACGACACTAAAGAAATGGCTATAGCGGCTAAGAACAAAGCAGATAAGTTGGGTCAAAGGACTGCACAGGACAGGATACGTGTCATACAGCAAGGTAGATGTGGGGGTTGTCGGCTCGCACACTGAAGATCATGTTTAATTTATATGTACATAAGAACATATTGTATTTCTCACTAGAAATGAAGCAACTTGAAGCCCACCCTGTATTTAACCCTGCCATCAAAGTGAGAGATGGACCCCCAAAAGAAAGTAAACCTTTTCCACCCAGCGAAGACAAAGACGATTTAGGATTTAAATTATTTGAAAGTGTTGAAAAAGAGCCCCCTGCCCCTGCCCCGGCCCCTGCAGAAAAAGGTACCTGTGAATCTATTACCTTAATACTACTGTTTTAAGGATAGAAAATTGTATGCCTTTGTCTTATGCCTATGTCTTTTCCAGTCAAAAAACAAGAGCCGAGAGATGTACGCAATTTTGACTACACGGCTCGAAGCTGGACTGGGAAGTCTCCCAAACAGTTTCTCATCGACTGGGTCAGAAAGAACCTTCCCAAGAGCCCGGCACCAGCTTTTCACAAGGTTCCGGCTGGACGATACTGGAAATGCAGGTGTGTACTTTGTATGTGGTGATTTCATGTTATACCTGTGTTTGAGATTGCACACGTACATTGCACTATTTACTTCCTCACATGTCAAAACACTTGTTGTAAAAGCCAGATCCCATCAGACCTCTGGAGCTAAGCAGGGCAGGGTCTTGTTAGTACAGTGATGGGAGACCACTGGGAACACCAGGTGCCACAGCAGGGTGACTGTGGCTATAAAGTGCTAAACTGTTGTGTCCTTAGGCAAGACACCCACATCGCCTATGAGTCTGGTGTGTGTGTTAATGGCTGGTGGTACATACTGGTTGCCTTGCTTCTTTCAGTGTGCCCCAGGACAGCTGTGGCTACAGTAGTTTCTTCTCACCACTGTGTATGGAGTAAAATAATATTGACATGTGAAGCGTCTTTGAGCGACCAAAAAAGCGCTATACAAAACCAAAATATTATTATTACTTTTGCTTTAAAATCTAATAACATCTCATGAATGTCTTGTTTTAATATTAGAGTACGGATTCAAAGGCCTGAAGACGTGCTAGAAGTTTGTCCAACTATAGTGACCGAGGACAGCATGCAGGCGCAGCATCTGGCAGCAACACTGGCACTCTACACCATGATCAAGGGACAGGTAAAACTCCGCCAGAATCGCAAAACACCGACTCTTTCCGCATTCTTGTGGCGTTTACATTTTGATATTTCTTTCAGGCGGTGCATCAGCTGCTACCTCCGACCTACAGAGACGTGTGGCTGGAGTGGAGGGACGGAGAGCGGCAGCAGCAGGAGGAGACTCAGATCGCGGCCAACAAACCCAGAGACCAGTTCATATCTCGGCTTCTCACCAAACTCAAGCAGCAGCAGAAGCAAGAAGCCGGGTCTCAGGCTCCGTCGGCAGCAGCTGAGGGGGACACAGACCAGGAGCCGGAGGAGTCCTGGGAGAACTTTGCTGCTTTAGATTTGGATGAAGATCACGGTTGTTGCAAAAGTGACGCAAGTGAAGGAGGGAGGAGAAGCACGGCGTCGCTAGAAGCTTCCAAAGAGCTGTTTTTAAATCTGAGGAAATCACAATTGGCAAAGAAATTACAGGTAAATTGTGCCTCTTCTAAGTTGCATCTTAGTTCACACAGTTTATGGTCTGGTTCTGTTCAATTCAATGTATTTTTGTTGATTCACATCAGCAGTCGTCTCGAAGGACTCAAACAATTCTAACACAGGAAATGCAATGATTAAAACAATTACTTAGGAGCCATTGGTTCATTGGGAGCAGGATGAGCAATGTCAGTAAATGTCCAGGCATGTCCCTAAATGTTTGAGGGATCCGCTCTCAAAGACGGACAGGCGATAAAGGCTCGGTAAAATTACATACTTTGCAACTTTGTCTTCTTCCGTTTGTCCAAATATTTTCTACATAAGAAATTAATTCACATTCTAAAACATGAAATGACAAAGTACATATTGTAGTAAGTGCAAGTATATATTCTCTATAATGAGTTTAAGGGTGAAATCCACACACATTAGTTTTATTCATGAGACATTGTTGGTATATGAGAAACTGTATAATGTGTCATCTATCATTTTGATCATGTATAACATAATTTTTATTTATAGAAGTTTAAGTTTTGTGCTACATGTTACCATCGTTGGTATATGAGAAACTGTATAATTTGTCATATTTGGACGTATTGTCACATTGTAATGGGGGTTAGGCAGTATACGTTTCTACTTTAGCCTAAACCCCTTTCGGTCAGGCATTGTTTCGCACAAGGTCCTTTATGGACACATTTTTGTAATTTTTTTCTTGTTGTAAAATGCATATGTGATCTCTGAAACCGTGTGACCTGAGATCTGGTGCACATGTTGGCAGAAGAAAACAAACTACTACTAAATTCAAATCGTTCTCTCGGCTGTGATGTTTCAGGCCGAGCGAGAGCAGCTGCCCGTCTTCCAGCACCGCCATCACGTTCTGGAGGCGTTGCAGCGTCACCCGGTGGTGGTGGTCGCCGGGGAAACGGGCAGCGGGAAGAGCACCCAGATCCCCCAGTTCCTCCTGGAGCACATGCTGACGGGAGCCAAGGAGCCGCGGCCGTGTAGCATCGTGGTGACGCAGCCTCGAAGGATCTCCGCCATGAGTCTGGCCTGCAGAGTGAGCGAGGAGCTGGGCTGCGAGGACGGGCCCGGGTCTAAGGTAAAACCAACTCATCAACAGGTTTAACTAAGAAGGAGAAAATCCATTTAAATCAACGGTCTCAAACATAATATATTTTTGTGCGCAAAGAAACAAAGGCAGAATTTGTTATCAAAAGTGTATATCAACACTATTACAGCTCGGAGTCTTTGTGGATGATATGACAACGATGATATAATTCAAACATGTTTATTTGAGAATATCTGATTTCACAGAACCATAACAATGATTGATAAAAAGAGCTTTGTGCAGCGCTGCGAGTGAAGTGGGATGTCATATGTCATTGGTTGTCACGACTTAAAAAATCACTAACAATTATAAAAAGAACGTTTTGTGTGTTATCATTTATAATCTCCAAAATATGGCCAGAACAATGAACTCTCTGGTTTGCAAACTTTCAAGCATAACTGTATGTGTTGTTCTGTTGGTGCATCTGTTTCTTGGATTTCTTTCATGAGGATCAATAAAGTTTTTTCTCTTGTTTCTCTGTCTGTAGTCGTCGCTTTGTGGATATCAGATCCGGATGGAGAATCTGTCCGGAGAGTGGACGCGGCTTCTTTACTGCACCACTGGAGTTTTACTGAGGAAACTTCAGCACGACCGGCTCCTGAGCTCCCTCACACACATCATAGTGGACGAGGTGAGTTTCAGTCAAAGATTTTCATTCATTGAGACTGTAAGTAATAATTTGAATAATAATCCATCACCTCCTCTCACGGCATCATGAGTCCACTATGTACACTGTGGTGATAAACTCCTACTGCAGCCACAGTCACTGCTATTTTTGGTTTCAACTTAAAATGTGAAACCAAGTGATGATATTGACTCATTGCAATTCAATGACATTTATTTTTGTATCGCCCTTAATCAGAACAGTAGTTATCTCGGACTTTACAAAGCTTTCGATTCGCCAACACAGATCAGAAAATCAAACATTTAAAACACAGGAAATGCATAGACATGAAGCCATAAGGGGTGAACAACCAATGCCTATACATGTTTATAGATGTTCATAAATATTGTAGGGTAATAATACTACTTTAAGCTATAAATTGTAAGAGAAGAATAGTGCGGCTAGTCTCCAAATCAGAGGCTGGCCGTCCTATTCGAGTGGGGATCTGCTTTTTATTTTTGGGCACCAGCAGAGTTAAATTTCTGCACAGATCCAACTAATTTGCCTCGAATCAGTCTTATAATCTAATAGGTAGTGAATGCGTAAATCAGCCAGAGATATCCAAGACTTAACAACACGACTCTGATATGATTGAGTTTAAAGTAAAGGGGTTTTATTGACTACAAAAATGAAGATAGAAAATATAACGAAGGGGATTTCTGGTCACATTAAACAGAAGTTGTATACATCTCATTTGAAACACACACTCAACAAGGAACAGTCTTACTTTTGAGGAGCGTAGAGGATGAAGAAAGGATTTGGGATGGGAAGAGCCCACGTGGTTTCTTTGTCCGGGCAGGCGGGATATACGAAGCCAGCATTACAGTCCAACTTTGATCCACGCATACACGACTCAGTCCGGAATGAGTTGTGTGCGGAGGGTCCAGCCAGGAAAAGAGGCTGATGGTGTAACAGTTCGTAAGATCCCGAGCCAGGAAGGAGGGCTGTGTTGCGGAGTAGAAGGCCCAATGCGTGCAGGCGCGGCCGCAGTAGGAGACGCGTACCACGAGACACGGAGGGCAGGAAAGCTGCGATGGTGATTTCAGGGAAGGACAAGAGGCAGTTCTGTTGCATTGTGTGTGTTTATATTGACTTCTGGAGGGGGCGCGTCCTTGACGTCATCCATGTGCGACAACCTTCTTACAACAGGCAGTTTACAAGGGAAACACACAAGATTAATATGGACAACCATAACAAATTGTACAAACACACACCGCATTTCATTACTCGACAATGATACACACATGTAGGGCACGGTACAGACGTATGGGACTAATACTGTGTCAGGAGCTGGTCTACACACTGTCCGTGCCGGGTGTGATGGTGTTCAGTGTCCACTGGGGGGCGCCAGAACGCCGCGGGTGAGTCTCAGGTTTGTGGAATGTGTTCTGAGCGATCAATGGGTGAATGATGCCTGTTCTCTGTCAGGCAGGAGGGCGTACCGATGTTTGTTCTGCTGTTTTATTGCCCCTCTGTCTGTTTTCTTGCAGTGTCCTGGCAGAGTTTAGCCTTTCATTGAACCCGTAGTTTCTTTTGAAGTTCCCGGGGCCCGGGAGGGGCCTGTTTGCGAGAAGGGCAGCTATTTCACGCTCGACTGGTGCCTGCCCTCTTTCTTCACCTTACAATATCGTTCAATCTCCTGGATCATCAACACTGTCCTTAGACCCTCCTGCAGTGCTACGGCACGACACAAAAAAACCCCAGTGGGAAAAAGTGAGAAACCTCCGGGAGGCCCACATTGAGGGAGAGATCCGCTCCCACAGACCAACAGGACTAAAGAAGCATTATGTCAAGCCTATTTGTCATTTTTTTGATTATTATTACTTGCAGTCCATTTTAAATTGGATTATATTCTATTTTTCTGTCAAAAATTCTTCATAGAAAAGTGAATAAACCTAGTACTGTAACTGTTTCGGTGTCTCCTCCTTGTTTATCCAGGTTCACGAGCGCAGTGTTCAGTCCGACTTCCTGCTGACCATTCTGAAGGACGTGGTCATGAAGAGATCGGACCTGAAGCTGATTCTTATGAGCGCCACGGTCGACTGTCACAAATTCTCAAGTTATTTCAACCGCTGCCCCATCATCAACATCCCGGGCCGCACTTTCCCGGTCGAGGTATGAATCCTACGATTATGTTCATGTTGCACCAGCTACATTTGAAAAGAAAGTTAATGTTGTCCATATATAGGCTGCACTTGAATATAAGCCGCAGATTCATAATGTAGCAGCAGATAGATTTTACTGGTCATTACACGGAAGCTTTAGCCGTTAGCTTCCATGACGGCACTCAGACAAAACACATTTGAGTACATGTGCAAAAGTACCCAGTGTGTACCGGACAAGTACTTCATATAAAACAAGCTAAAAAAGTATAAGAAATTATTTTCAAATCAACAAAAACAGCTTTACTATTAGTGCAAGATCATTAAAGAGCCTTCAAACTGAAAACAGATTTTGGATGGAAGCTGTTTGCATGTTAGCATATTCAGATATCCTGCATCTCAGCAAACATTGCCTTCTGTGAGAGGGAAGAAGCTGGAACATGGCTTTTCCAGGGGCCAGAGTCTGGATTAATAAAAAACCTCTATAACAGCTCATAGTCCTCCAGTGACCAGTGAGTGTCCTATAGCTACTAAAACTTCAATCAATATAAAAGTCAACAAATACACATAGAGTGGTATGAAAAAGATGAGGATCTGCAAAGAAGAATGGTCCAAAATTCCTTCCACCAGAATCCAGACTCAGCGTTTAGTTTTTGTCTCCTATATGATACATTTAACTGACATTCTTATCCAAACAACCAATGACTTTTAAAAGAAAATCATAAAAATTGAGAGGGGTGCCCAAACTTTGTATTATTACTATTAGCTGCATCGCTATACACGCTTCAGGGTTCGAAGTGCTAGAACAGAAGCAGTAGCTTATAGTCCGGAATTTACAGTATGTTTTTTTTTGTAGGTCTTTCATCTGGAAGACATCGTGGAGGAGATCGGATACGTTCTGGAAAAGGACTCAGAGTACAGCCAGAGAATCCTGGAAGACGAGGAGGAAGTCAGTATCTCTGTCACGCAAAAAGGCGGGAAGACAATGCAGCATCAGGTCTCTCTAATCTTTCCACTGTGCGTCCCTGTGTTTTGTGTGTGATCCATCAATAAAGTTGTGTGTTTGTTGTGTTTAGGAAGTGATTATAAAAGACTCGTCTCGCTGGGATCTGGGTCCAGACTTGGATCATTTCAGTAGCAGGACCCAACATGTTCTGCAGTGTATGAATCCCAACAAAATCAACATGGACCTTTTGACAGACCTCGTGGACTATCTAGGTACATCTATTGCGACGCCAGTTTTGAATTTAACTCAGAGACTAAACCTTCCCTTGTATTTCCCAATTTCTTTTTCACACAAGATAAATCTCCCCAGTTTGCTGAAATAGATGGCGCCGTTTTAGTGTTTCTCCCTGGAATCGCACACATACAGCAGCTGTTCGACCTGCTCTCCTCAGACAAGAGGTTTAGAGACAGAAACAGGTAAATGCACAATGTTGCTAATGTAGATTTTTTATCCCATGTGCTTACAGATCAGCTTGATACGAAGAGAATAGCAAAAGAAAAAACTGTTTGGCTTTGTTACTTTTCTTTGTTTAGGTACAAGATTGTGGCTCTTCACTCCACTCTCTCCTCCAAGGATCAGGCTGCTGCTTTTACTGTGCCCCCTGCTGGAGTGAGGAAGGTACTTTGCTTTGAAGGGTCAAAAATGTCTCAACACTCATTTTGGTTTGTCCGGATTTTAAAAGAAATAGCTGTTCAGTTGAGGGTTTGAACGTTTTAGAGGAAAAATACATTTATTTGTTTACATTATGGCCTTATGGAAGCTTTTTGACTTCATTATTACCTTTTTATATAACTTGTGATTGGATGTTATTGCTGGATTTTTAGTCTGAACAATATTTGTTCAGTTAGTTACTGTTTGTTTGGACTGAAGCAAAACTGGAGTGAAGGTGAAGATGGCTTGTAATAGTAGGCTGACATACCAATGATTTTTTTGGAAGTTATATTTAACCCTTTAACCTTCTATCCTCGAGTCAAAAATATATATAAAAAAAAATCTAGCTGAATTTTGATGACTTTTCCTAACTTGACCAGCCCAGGGTCATTTAGACCCCTTTAGGCCTTAATTTAGGGTATTTTTCTTCTACTTTTAAATCACTTTGGTGGATCATTTTGACCCAAGGGTACTACAAGGATAGCTATATCTGAATTTAAACAGGAAATATATTATATGGTTGTTTTCTTGAGGAGAATAGGCTTAAAATGAGGTCAAACATGCCATGGTACCATCAATGCTTCAAGTGAATCATAAGAATTGAAATAGGATTTGGCCCATGGGTCTTTAATCTGAGGTGAAATGGTTCCTTTCATAGATCGTGCTGTCCACAAACATCGCAGAGACCGGTGTCACCATTCCAGATGTGGTCTTTGTCATCGACACCGGGAAAACCAAGGAGAACAAGTAAGAAAGCTGCCACGACATAAAGAATTACATACTTGATATTAACTTAACTGTTAACATTCTCAATCTATGTTTTCAGATACCACGAGAGCAGCCAGATGAGTTCTTTAGTCGAAACGTTTGTGTCCAAAGCCAGCGCCCTCCAGAGGCAGGGAAGAGCAGGTCGCGTCCGGAGCGGCTTCTGCTTCCGACTTTATCCAAAATTCAGGTATGAGCCTCAGGATATCAAAGCTTTTGGATAGTTAGAATTTAGTACTTGCTTCTTTATTATGCTAAAGTTAGAGATTTTAGTGCTGAGTCCTGTAACTGCAGACGCAACACTTTGGGACAAATAAAAAATCTCTTAATCTTAATCTTGTAATTCAGGTTTCAGAGCTTCATGGATTACTCGATACCAGAAATCCTCCGGGTCCCACTGGAGGAGCTCTGTCTGCATATCATGGTACACACTGTTGAGGATAAGAATCAAACTTTCAGTCTCCAGTTCAGGTTTCCCCGAGTCTCAGTTTCCAGGTCTGTGCTCTCTCCAAACAGAAGTGTCAGTACGGGTCTCCAGAGGACTTCCTGGGCCGAGCTCTGGACCCGCCGCAGCCGCAGTCGGTGAATAATGCGGTGAATCTCCTGAGGAAGATCGGGGCCTGTCTCCCCACCAGCCACCTGCTCACGGCGCTGGGCCACCACCTCGCCAGTCTCCCCGTCAACGTCAAGATCGGGAAGATGCTCATCTACGGCGCCATTCTGGGCTGTCTGGAGCCAATCGTGAGTCACGTTTAAGAGTTAAGATTTAAAAATGAAATGCCTTGATGTTGTTACCATTACTGTTGGAGGAAGATATGGATTCTGTTCAGTATTGCGATATTTTGCGATACATTTTTCACTTTTTTGCGTATTACATCCAGCAGGGGGCGCTTGTTGCGGTGCTTTGTTTAGTCATACATCCATTCAAATAAAAATAACTTTATCACTACCGTTCTACACTACGACAAAAATAAAGTTTTTTGCGCTTGTGCAGACCATAATAAATGTGACATTTGAGTTGAGTCTTAATTTCCTCAATTTGTTTAATGCCTTTGAATGATATGAGTGACATGAGTTGCAATGTATGCCAGAATTGAATCACAATACTTACTGTATCGCAATATGTCAAGAATCAAATTAATATTGAATTGTGGCCGAATATCGCGATACTATCGAATCGTCACATTTCTGCCAGTTCCAGCCTGAGTTTCCTTTACATGTTTCCTCCAGGCCACTATAGCTGCAGCCATCACAGAGAAGTCTCCCTTCTCCACACCCATCAACAGGAAAGAAGAAGCCAACCTGGCCAAGGCTGCTCTCTCATTGGCCAACTCTGACCACCTGACGCTTTACAACGCGTACATTGGGTAAAACTGATTTTTATGTTTTTGTAAATTACTCACAGGAAGTAAATGTATTTAAATTGGTCATTTTTGTTTCTTCAACGTATAACACAAAAGGAATAGTATAATTATTAGAGCTGGTAGAGAGAGAGACACAGTGCGACAGTGCGAAAGAGATATTTTTTCAGCGAGAGAGATAGAGAAATTTCCCAACTGTGGAACTATAGGATCTCTTAATCTGAATCTGAAAGAGATGTGGTTCACTTTTTTCCGTGGCACTTAAATCAGACCAAAACAAGACACAGTGGATTTCCAAAGTCTCGGTCTCAGTCTCAGTCTCTGTAATTTCACTGATGATTGTTTTGGGAGTGACTCAGATCCGCTCACAGTTGCTCAAACAGGCACCTCTCCCGACAAGTTAAATTATTAGTTTGAGTGTTGTGTGATTCTCAAGTGACTGTTTAGGTTGTGGGTTGTTGGGTTTACAAAAGTTTTAAAAGTGTTTGGGGTTTTTTTCCCCCTTTTTTGCAGCTGGAAAAACTCTCAAAGCGAGGGATACAAGGCAGAGCTGTCCTACTGCAGAAAACACTTCCTCAATCGCACAGCCCTGGTCACACTGGAGGTACTGAACTCAGCTACTTTATTTACACCAGGAGAGGGAGAGAGAGAGACAGAGACAGAGCGAGAGACAGAGCGAGAGAGAGAGACAGAGCAAGAGACAGAGCAAGAGACAGAGCGAGAGACAGAGAGAGAGAGAGATGGAGAGAGAGAGACAGAGAGAGAGACAGAGCGAGAGACAGAGAGAGAGAGAGAGACAGAGAGAGAGACAGAGCGAGAGACAGAGAGAGACAGAGCGAGAGAGACAGAGAGACAGAGAGAGAGACAGACAGAGATGGAGAGAGATGGAAAGAGAGATGGAAAGAGAGACGGAGAGAGATGGAAAGAGAGAGACAGAGACAAAGAGATGGAAAGAGAGAGACAGAGAGAGAGAGAGAGATGGAGAGAGATGGAAAGAGAGAGACAGAGCGAGAGACAGAGAGAGAGACAGAGCGAGAGACAGAGAGAGAGACAGAGCAAGAGAGACAGAGAGACAGAGAGACAGAGCGAGAGAGACAGAGAGAGACAGACAGAGAGAGACGGAGAGAGATGGAAAGAGAGAGACGGAGAGAGATGGAAAGAGAGAGACGGAGAGAGATGGAAAGAGAGAGACAGAGAGAGACAGAGACAAAGAGAGATGGAAAGAGAGACGGAGAGAGTTGGAAAGAGAGAGACAGAGAGAGAGAGATGGAAAGAGATGGAAAGAGAGAGACAGAGAGAGACGGAGAGAGATGGAAAGAGAGAGACGGAGAGCGATGGAAAGAGAGACAGAGAGAGACAGAGACAAAGAGAGATGGAAAGAGAGATGGAGAGAGTTGGAAAGAGAGAGACAGAGAGAGAGAGAGATGGAGAGAGATGGAAAGAGAGAGATGGAAAGAGAGAGACGGAGAGAGATGGAAAGAGAGAGACGGAGAGAGATGGAAAGAGAGAGACCGAGAGATGGAAAGAGACTGAGAAAGACGGAGGGAGAGAGACGGAAAGAGAGACTGAGAGAGCGAGAGACCGAGAGAGGGGGAGACTGAGACACATACAGAGAAAGAATAAGAGAGAGATGCAGACAGAGGGAGAGAAAGAGAAAGAAAAATATTGTTTATTGGTTTAATTGGTGTGTGTTGTTTATAGAGACACTTTCAGACCTCTTCATCTTAATAGACCGGAGACCAGTTCTGTATAAACTCTAACGCCACAATGTAGTCTCTTGTTGACGTGACGACGCTCTCTCCAGAACGTGAAGCTGGAGCTGATGAAGATGATGGAGCAGGCCGGGTTCTGGTCCCGCCACTGCTCTCGCTTCAAGCTGCAGTCCGGAGCGCCGTCCAGGGCCCAGATCTCCATCCTGAACGCGGCTCTCACGGCCGGTCTCTACGACAGCGTGGCCAAGCTGGTCTGCACGCCGTCGGTGGACGTTCTGGAGCGAGTGGCGTGCACCGTGGAGACGCCGCAGGGAAAGGCCCAGGTCCACCCCTCCTCCGTCAACCGCAGCCTGCAGACCCACGGCTGGCTGCTGTACCAGGAGAAAGTATGAGCCAAGATTAGGATTGAAATTAAGATTTAGGAGATCTTTTATTCGTCCCACAGCGGGGAAATGTCAGTGTTGCATCACCAGTTACAGAACAGTAGGAATGAGGAGCACACAGCACAAGATAAATGAACAATAACTCTATACAAAAATAACATAACATCTCAAACTTTAGCATAATACAGCAAGAAAGAAATGAGTATAAAACCCCTCACCACACTCTATAAAGAGAGAGACCAGAGAGAGAGACCAGAGAGAGAGACCAGAGAGAGAGACCAGAGAGAGAGACCAGAGAGAGAGACCAGAGAGAGAGACCAGAGAGAGAGGCCAGAGAGAGAGACCAGAGAGAGAGACCAGAGAGAGACCAGAGAGAGACCAGAGAGTGAGACCAGAGAGATATTGGAGGGCCCAGAGAGATACCAAAGGCCGACAAGAGAGAAAGCAAAGAGAGACCAGAGAGAGACCAGAGAGAGACCAGAGAGAGACCAGAGAGAGACCAGAGAGAGAGACCAGAGAGAGAGACCAGAGAGAGAGACCAGAGAGAGAGAGTCCAGTAGTAAGTACAGTGCCTTGCGAAAGTATTCGGCCCCCTTGAACCTTTCAACGTTTCGCCACATTTCAGGCTTCAAACATAAAGATATTTAAAAACAAATTTTTTGTCAAGAATCAACAAAGAGTGGGACACAATCGTGAAGTGGAACGAAATTGATTGGATAATTTAAACTTTTTTAACAAATAAAAAACTGAAAAGTGGTGTGCAATATTATTCGGCCCCCTTGCGCTAATACTTTGTAGCGCCACTTTTTGCTGCAATTACAGCTGCAAGTCGCTTGGGGTATGTCTCTATCAGTTTTGCACATCGAGAGACTGGAATTCTTTCCCATTCTTCCTTGCAAAACAGCTCGAGCTCAGTGAGGTTGGATGGAGAGCGTTTGTGAACAGCAGTCTTCAGCTCTTTCCACAGATTCTCGATTGGATTCAGGTCTGGACTTTGACTTGGCCATTCTAACACCTGGATACGTCTATTTGTGAACCATTCCATTGTAGATTTGGCTTTATGTTTTGGATCATTGTCCTGTTGGAAGATAAATCTCCGTCCCAGTCTCAGGTCTTTTGCAGACTCCAACAGGTTTCTTCCAGAATGGTCCTGTATTTGGCTCCATCCATCTTCCCATCAATTTTAGCCATCTTCCCTGTCCCTGCTGAAGAAAAGCAGGCCCAAAGCATGATGCTGCCACCACCATGTTTGACAGTGGGGATGGTGTGTTCAGGGTGATGAGCTGTGTTGCTTTTACACCAAACATATCGTTTTGCATTGTGGCCAAAAAGTTCGATTTTGGTTTCATCTGACCAGAGCACCTTCTTCCACATGTTTGGTGTGTCTCCCAGGTGGCTTGTGGCAAACTTTAAACGAGACTTTTTATGGATATCTTTGAGAAATGGCTTTTTTCTTGCCACTCTTCCATAAAGGCCAGATTTGTGCAGTGCACGACTGATTGTTGTCCTATGGACAGACTCTCCCACCTCAGCTGTAGTTATCTGCAGTTCATCCAGAGTGATCATGGGCCTCTTGGCTGCATCTCTGATCAGTTTTCTCCTTGTTTGAGATGAAAGTTTGGAGGGACGGCCGGGTCTTGGTAGATTTGCAGTGGTCTGATACTCCTTCCATTTCAATATAATTGCTTGCACAGTGCTCCTTGAGATGTTTAAAGCTTGGGAAATCTTTTTGTATCCAAATCCGGCTTTAAACTTCTCCACAACAGTATCTCGGACCTGCCTGGTGTGTTCCTTTGTCTTCATGGTTCTCTCTGCGCTTTAAACAGAACCCTGAGACTATCAAAGAGCAGGTGCATTTATACGGAGACTTGATTACACACAGGTGCATTCTATTTATCATCATCAGTCATTTAGGACAACATTGGATCATTCAAAGATCCTCACTGAACTTCTGGAGCGAGTTTGCTGCACTGAAAGTAAAGGGGCCGAATAATATTGCACGCCCCACTTTTCAGTTTTTTATTTGTTAAAAAAGTTTAAATTATCCAATAAATTTCGTTCCACTTCACGATTGTGTCTCACTTGTTGATACTTCATGACAAAAAAAATAAAAAATTATATCTTTATGTTTGAAGCCTGAAATGTGGCAAAATGTTGAAAGGTTCAAGGGGACTGAATACTTTCGCAAGGCACTGTATAAATAATAGTATATTCTAGTGCAGTAACTATGTACAGATGTAAAAATATAAATACATGTTAAGCCTAGCGTACATCGACAGAGAAACTGGGGACAACTAGTTGCAAGGCGGCTTTTGGCAACTGAGAGGAGATGGTGGGAGATGATCAGTTGCCGAAATCGGTCGATGTGCGCGCTCTTACAACTGGAGATGATCAGTCGGTCTCCAGTTCCAGTCAGTTGCCCGTGTTCTACTTTTCGGCAACTAGTTGTCCTCAGTTGCCCCGATGTGCGCGCTCCATGCGCCGCTCCGACAACGTGTGTGTATTGCGAGCCTGCAACAGTTTATGTCAGAAAACACACTGTGGTTGAGGGCAGTTGCTGTCGATGTACGCGCTGTTATTCAAAAGATTGGCCTGCGACTCAGAGTTGCCCGTTTTCGCCAGATTGTCGATGTGTGCGGGGCAGCAACTCAGAGGCGACGGATATAATCAGTTGCCAGTCCGATGTACGCTAGGCTTTAGCAGCACGAGAGTCTGAGACACAGCGACAGTGGACACATGTGTGGTTCTGTGTTGCACATCCTGACATTAGTTCAAATTGCCCAAACAGGTCTTCTCTGAGATGGAAAACTGTTATTCCTGTGGTCTGTATCAGATATTTGTTTATTGCTACAGCTGTTCTCTGTGTGTTCGAAGGTGAAATACACCAAGATCTACCTGAGGGACACCACTCTCATCTCCCCGTTCCCAATGCTGCTGTTTGGAGGAGACATCGACATCCAGCACAGAGAGAGGCTCATCACGTTGGACGGATGGATGCACTTCCAGGTCAGAACAAAGCAGGATTAAAGCTGGGGGACCTAACTTTCGAACCACAAATGGAAATATTTAATCAAATTCATCAATCTCGTGTCAATCCCTCAAAACGGTTCTGTTCTATCTCTAGTTTTCACATGGAGCTGTTTTTAGGCCTCTGTCACTGCTTCATGGCCCCACCTACATGTGAAGGCCAGATCTTGTCAGACCTCTGAAGCAAAGCAGGGCAGGGCCTGGTTAGTCCTGTGATGGGAGACCTCTGGGAACCCCAGGTGCCACAGTGGGGCGGCTGTAAAGTGCCAAACTGTAGTGGTATCTTGAGGCAACCCACTTCACCCACATTAGAATGAGTCTGGTGTGTGTGTGAATGGTTGGTGGTGGTGGGAGGGGCTGATGGCACATACTGGTTGCCTTGCTTCTGTCAGTGTGCCCCAGGGCAGCTGTGGCTACAATAGGCTCTTTCTTACACTATGCAAAAACATTTAACTTTTACAAAACTCTTTCTGTCAGGACAAATTCATTTTTACAAAGATTTCAAAGTTGGGTACCATCTTTTATTATTATTATTATTTGTTAGTTTTTTAGTTTTGTATATGTGTATATTCAGGCTGTTTTGACGCTCTCTGATCTCCAGGCTCCGGTGCGGATAGGTGTCATCTTTAAGCACCTGCGACGCCTTTTGGATTCAGTGCTGGAAAAAAAGATGGAGAATCCCAAGTTGAATTTGGAAGGTAAATAAATGTTGTTTTGCAAATGTTTTCATATGTTTTAGTTACATGCCTGCGTTGTTCTACAGATGAGAGAGCCATCCAGGTGCTTCTGGAGCTGATCAAATCGGAGAATGCACAGTGACCGATGGACTCTTGTTTTGTCTTATTCTCAGTCACAGTGGTCCCTCGTTTATCGCGGGAGATTTAAAAAATAACCTGCAATAAGCAAAGTCCGTGCAGTAGCAGCTGTATGTTTGAAGGCTGTAAAACCCTGAAGTGAGAGAGACCAGAGAGAGAGACAGAGCAGAGAGAGACAGACCAGAGAGAGAGAGAGACCAGAGCGAGAGAGAGACCAGAGAGAGAGACCAAAGACAGAGACCACAGAGCGAGAGACCAGAGCGAGAGACCAGAGAGAGAGACAGACCAGAGAGAGACCAGAGAGACAGACCAGAGCGAGAGAGAGACCAGAGAGAGAGACCACAGACAGAGACCACAGAGCGAGAGACCAGAGCGAGAGACCAGAGCGAGAGAGACCAGAGAGAGAGAGAGACCAGAGGGAGAGAGAGACAGACCAGAGAGAGACCAGAGAGAGAGACCACAGAGAGACCAGAGCGAGAGAGAGACCAGAGAGAGAGAGACCAGACAGAGACCACAGAGCAAGAGACCAGAGCAAGAGACCAGAGCAAGAGACCAGAGAGAGAGAGAGAGAGAGACCAGAGGGAGAGAGAGACCAGAGCGAGAGAGACCAGAGAGAGAGAGAATGCACAGTGACCGATGGACTCTTGTTTTGTCTTATTCTCAGTCACAGTGGTCCCTCGTTTATCGCGGGAGATTTAAAAAATAACCTGCAATAAGCAAAGTCCGTGCAGTAGCAGCTGTATGTTTGAAGGCTGTAAAACCCTGAAGTGAGAGAGACCAGAGAGAGAGACAGAGCAGAGAGAGACAGACCAGAGAGAGAGAGAGACCAGAGCAGAGAGAACACAGAGAGAGACCAGAGCGAGAGAGAGACCAGAGAGAGAGAGACCACAGACAGAGACCACAGAGCGAGAGACCAGAGAGAGAGACAGACCAGAGAGACCAGACAGAGAGAGACCAGAGAGAGAGAGACCAGAGGGAGAGAGACAGACCAGAGAGAGACCACAGAGAGACCAGAGCGAGAGAGAGACCACGGACAGAGACCACAGAGCGAGAGACCAGAGCGAGAGACCAGAGCGAGAGAGACCAGAGAGAGAGAGAGAGAGAGAGACCAGAGGGAGAGAGAGACCGAGAGACAGACCAGAGAGAGACCAGAGCGAGAGAGAGAGAGACCACAGAGACCACAGAGCGAGAGACCAGAGAGAGAGAGAGACCAGAGAGTGAGACCGAGAGAGAGAGACCAGAGAGTGAGAGAGAGGGACCAGCGAGAGTGAGACCAGAGAGTGAGACCGAGAGAGAGACCAGAGAGTGAGAGAGAGGGACCAGCGAGAGTGAGACCAGAGAGTGAGACCGAGAGAGAGAGACCAGAGAGTGAGAGAGAGGGACCAGCGAGAGTGAGACCAGAGAGTGAGACCAGAGAGTGAGACCGAGAGAGAGAGACCAGAGAGTGAGAGAGAGGGACCAGCGAGAGTGAGACCAGAGAGTGAGACCGAGAAAGAGAGACCAGAGAGAGAGAGAGAGGGACCAGCGAGAGTGAGACCAGAGAGTGAGACCGAGAGAGAGAGACCAGAAAGTGACACCAGAGAGATATTGGAGAGGGACCAGAGAGAGACCAGAGAGTGAGACCAGAGAGAGACACCAGAGAGAGAGACCAGAGAGTGAGACCAGAGAGAGACACAAGAGAGATATTGGAGAGGGACCAGAGAGAGAGAGACCAGAGAGTGAGACCAGAGAGAGACCCCAGAGAGATCTTGGAGAGGGCCCAGAGAGATACCAAAGGCCGACAAGAGAGAAAGTAAAGAGATATCGGAGAGAGACCAATGTTAATGAATCCTTGCGTCTTGCACGGTAGAATAGACTGCACCGTCTGAAACACGAGAATGTTATTGTCGACTCTTTACTCACAGATAAACACCAGATAAAGACAAACAAAGAGTGAAACTAACCACTGTCACTTCCTGGAACCGGGGGGGCTTCTCTCCTTTTAAATTAACGATTATATTAAAATAAAATAAAAATTCACATACCAAGGACACACACACAGGGCTTGATGTTGTTTGAAAGTTTTAATCTAAAATCAACACATCTCTTGCATAAATATATTCAAACACAGACACAAACAACACTGTACAACGCTAAAAGTCCAGGCTGTTTTTTTTTTTTCTAATGTTAAAGATGGAGCCACAGTGTGTTTCTGATGGTTTACTACAGATAACTCATTCTCAGCTCCAAGGAGTAAGAATGGCAAAGGCAAAACTTTTTACCTGAGGATAAAGATTCCAGATCAGTCGGCGTCATTTATTCATTCAGGTTTTCCTTTTTGAATTCTGGCTCTTTTAGCTTTTGTCTCAAGATTTGAATATTACATGTACAGTTTACAAGACAGAAAGGAATTAAATTAACATGGAACTGCACCGGTTCTGTGGGGAGACCGGAGAGAGAGAAACTAGAGGGAGAGAGAGAGACCAGAGACAGATAAAGAGACCAGAGAGCGAGAGAGAGAGACCAGAGAGACTCCAGAGAGAGAGAAAGAGACCAGAGAGACTCCAGAGAGAGAGAGAGAGAGAGACTCCAGAGAGAGAGAGAGAGACCAGAGGAGACCAGAAAGAGAGAGACCAGAGAGACTACAGAGAGAGAGACCAGAGAGAAACCAGAGGCTGACCAGCGAGAAAGTAAAGAGAGACCAGAGAGATATCGGAGAGAGGCCGATGTTAATGAATCCTTGCGTCTTGCACGGTAGAATAGACTGCACCGTCTGAAACACGAGAATGTTATTGCCGACTCTTTACTCACAGATAAACACCAGATAAAGACAAACAAAGAGTGAAACTAACCACTGTCACTTCCTGGAACCGGGGGGGCTTCTCTCCTTTTAAATAAACAATTATATTAAAATAAAGAATGTCAATGGTTTTGCTTCAGGGATCACTACCTGTTGATGGGCGGAGGGACTGCAGGAGGCGGGGCCAGTGACGCCCTGTAGAAGTTTTCATACAGAATTGGACCTGAAACAGAATTAGATTTATTGACCATTTTTTATTTTAATGAATGAAGGTTTAATGAAAGCTTATTTGAACATAGAACAAAAACAGCAGAGTAAGAGCAAAAAACAAAACGACAATAAATACAAGACAAGAACAAAGGGAAAAAAACAAAATGAATTCAAAAACAAGACTTAACACTTTTCCCTGTGTTAATTAAATATATCTTAATACGTTTTTTATTTTATTTTATTGTTTATTTGGTTGGGACAGTTCATGTTACTGAACACATCACTCCGGATTGTAGCCTTGGGATAATTGGCATCCGTCGTCCCACATTCGCACTCACAAACACACACTCATTCACCCTGAACTATTGCACATGTTTTTAGTGGTAGGGGAAACCGGAGTACCTGGGGGAAACCTGCACAGACACAGGGAGGACATGCAAACTCCACTCAGAAAGGCCCTGATCCGACCGGGATTCGAACCCAGAACCTTCTTGGCGTATCATACTATAACATATACTGTATATATGCACAGATATACGCATACATTTGAATACTGGATTTTGAACCAGACAAAAACACATTCTATGCCACACAGAAAGCACTACACGCACACACACACACACACATGCACACACACGCACGCACACATACACACACTCTGGCAACGAAAGAATGAAGAACGAAGCAGATAAGAAACCGAACGAGTGGATTCTGTGTTTCATACCTGGCGGTTTGTCTCCACTTCGCCGCAGATTGACAAAGTGCTCGATGTCGTCCTGAATGTTGCATTGTTCTAAAGATTTCCGGACTTCCTCGTACAGCTGCAAAGGACAAATAACGTCAACTTCTAACAGAGATTTTATTTTTATTTGTTAAAGAAATGCTGAATACCTCATCCGTAGTGACGCACTGTTGGGAGAGGAGGTTTAAATGGGTCCACACTGTGTTTCGGACAAAGTTTATTCTGTCTATCGCCTGCTTTTCAAGAATCTGTGGGATGGAATTACAACTATTTCAGTCACACACACTCTAAAAAAAACATGACTTATTTAATAGATGAAAAGCAATCAGACAAATTTAGCCAGTTATAAATGTTGTGTGTTGTAAGTGATTGTGTGTTTAGTTTTTTGCTATTTTACCTACACCTATAGTGCTGGGAGTCAATAGTTACTTTTGTAATATAATGCAGATAAATAGTATCAGTATCAGTTTGTGAACAGCAGAGAGAGAGGAGGAAGTGAATGTGATCAGGTAAAGCTGTCTTTTCACAGAATACAAACACAGAAACACAGACAGAGACACAGACAGAGACACAGACAGACACAGAGACAGACACAGAGACACAGACAGACACAGAAACAGAGACACAGACAGACACAGAGACACAGAGACACAGACAGACACAGAAACAGAGACACAGACAGACACAGAAACAGAGACACAGAGACAGACACAGAAACAGAGACACAGACAGACACAGAAACAGAGACAGACACAGAAACAGAGACACAGATAGACACAGAAACAGAGACACAGACAGACACAGAAACACAGACACAGAAACACAGACACAGACAGACACAGAAACAGAGACACAGAAACAGAGACACAGATAGACACAGAAACAGAGACAGACACAGAAACAGAGACACAGACAGACACAGAGACACAGACAGACACAGAAACAGAGACACAGACAGACACAGACACAGAAACACAGACAGACACAGAAACACAGACAGACACAGAGACACAGACAGACACAGACACAGAAACACAGACAGACACAGACAGACACAGACACAGAAACACAGACAGACACAGACACAGAGACACAGACAGACAGACACAGACAGACACAGAAACACAGACAGAGACACAGACAGACACAGAAACAGAGACACAGACACAGAAACACAGACAGACACAGAGACACAGAAACACAGACAGACACAGACACAGAAACACAGACAGACACAGAGACACAGACAGACACAGAAACACAGACAGACACAGAGACACAGACACAGAAACACAGACAGACACAGAGACACAGACAGACAGACACAGACAGACACAGAAACACAGACAGACACAGACAGACACAGACAGACACAGAAACACAGACAGACACAGAAACACAGACAGAGACACAGACAGACACAGAGACAGAGACACAGACACAGAAACACAGACAGACACAGAGACACAGACAGAGAAGTGTCCAATAAAGAGTTACCTCACATGCACCGGTGTGCTCCTTGATCCACTCGTCTCTGATGTGTCCCATGGTGGTCACGTTCTGCTGGTACGATCTGTCTGGTGTCAGGAGGAAGTTATAAACAATCATAAAAGACAGAAGAAGACAATGAGGAAATGGGTCTGTGGTTTTTATCATATCAAGACTAGAACTAAGAATGTGCAAGAACCATATGTGTCACTGTCGTAGGTAATGAGACTTTTACTGGACTAAAATGCAAAATAAAACAGGACAAAGGCAACGTTTGTGGGAATAAGGCACGAAAACAAGAATCAGTCCAGGAGCAAGGTTAAAAAACTATTTGGCGACAGTAGCTCAGTTGGTAGAGCATTGGCCTTTGAGCCAGAGGGTTGTGGGTTCGAGCCCGACCTTCACCATCGACTCCCACTGTCTGCTGCCGTTGTGTCCTTGGCAAGACACTTAACCTCATACTCTATGTTACGCTTGCTTCTTTATTATGCTAATTTGGTATGTTTTTATTTATTAATTTATTTGACGGGGACATTGCAAGTCAACATAGAACAAAACAAGCTTGTAACTGATGCGATGCAGAAAGAGTTTTTTAGATATTGCTCATTTTCAGCTCCAGTCCCTGTTGGGCCTTTTTGCACCATATTTACATTTTCAGTATTATCTTAAAAACTAGACATTTTAAACTCACTTCTTTTTATGCTAAAGTCAGAGGTTTTTATTTTTATTTTAGTAAAGAGTTATTGTTCTTTTTTTCTTGTGCTGTGTGCTCCTCGGTCCTGCTCTTCCATCACCGACGATGCAACACTGAAATTTCCCCACTGTGGGATGAATCTTAGTCTTTTCTACTGGATCCACTCTGGAGTTGGTATGAGCGATACGGTGTCACCTGGAGTAAGTGAAATCTTTTATGACTAAGTTTGAAACCTTTTTGGAATTTGATGATTTCAGAGACTGGAACGGGTTTCTTTATGTGATGAGTGTCTCAGTGGGATGTGACCCCCCTTCATTCCTGAGAGCCTCTTCAGTCCTGGTTCTAAAGTCTGACCGTTCGTGGGAGTGGATCGCTCTGTCAATGTGGGACTAGTCCAGACCCTGAGGTTTCTCTAAGACATTTTTCAGACTGTTTTCCTTTGGTACAGAAGGGTCTAAGGACATGATGAGCTCTCTATGATCATTTATTAACATTTATTAACATTCATGGACAGTGGTCATACTATGGACCAATGTCTCCTATGTGTTTGTTATTTAATTTTTGAGTCTCTTCTGTAATTAAAGGCAATATAAAATAAAAGGAAAAAAAATATTGATCTATTCACAACACAGTATTTCTACACATTGAGTAAAGCAACAGTTTGTGACATTACGTTAAAGTATGTTTCAGTAATAGGTTTTAAAACAGACAGTGAGTAATAATGAGATTCATTCAGAAATATAATGAGAGAGAGAGAGACACAGACTAGACACAGAGACAGATACACAGAGGCAGAAACAGACACAGAGACAGAGACAGAGACAGAGAGAGAGAGGCAGAAACAGAGACAGACAGACACAATATTCTGTGGGTCTTTAAAAACCAGTAAAAAACCATCAGAAACGGCTGGCAATATGGAAGTACCTGTTCTGAAATGGGTTGGCAGTCAAGTGCTATACCCGTTTCTGTAAGATTTGAATGTTTAGCACCGCCCCCCGACTCGCTCAATGGCTTCTCATTTCCCCTACGCTCTCATAACACAGAGCCATCTAGCTCAATTTGCGATCTGATACATATGCTAACAACAGCATTAGCACAACTTCTTGTAAGCTGTACAACAATCACTGAAGAAATGGTACTAAAGCAACACACTGCTAAAATAATACCGCTAGTTTTGCATCCGAATGTATTCATTTAACATTAGAATATATTCGAATATTTAATTATAATTTATTATACAGCTCCTCACAGCAGCAGTAGAACACTTCATTGACTTGAATGTAATTCTACCGATCATTTTTTCTTGATAACAAAACTCTTAAACCAATAATGATCGCTGCCCTTTGACAACGCAATCTCTGTAATTCAGGTGTGTAAAATACTGACATTACTCTGCAAGTACAACAAGCCTTCAGCGCCTGTCACTGCACTGTGCAGCTTCTCTGCACACTGTTGTCTGTGTAGAGAAGCTAGCGGAGCTAGCCATGCTCAATAAACAAATACATATCTATCAATCAACGCCATTAAACGTTAATTGGACAATATAGTATACATATACATCCTTAACACACATGCACGGACATTTTCAGAATTTGTTGTTAACGTTTTCATGACAAAATTACTATTTTAATGTGACAAAAAGCGATTGCGAAAAACCCGGAAGTAACCATTAACATGAAACAAACATTTTAGGACACATTTGAAGAGGATCGGATTTAGCTTCGGTTTATAAATGGGTAACTCACCGCTGATGTTCAGAATTCTTTGTTCAGTTTTCATGTAGCTGGTTAGTTCCAGAGAGTTTTTGAACTAGCTAGCTGAGCTGTTACCTGCCTAGCACGTCAGACGTCACAGTGAAACCTTTGGGAGATAACTATTTTATTTGCAGTCATTAAATTAATTTCGAAATATAAGGGCTGTCTAAAATTTGTTCAAATATATAATATATATTTTTTAATTTTAGAATTATATTAGAATTTCGAGGCCGAAGCCCTGGTGTTAAGCAGCGCTGTAGGGGCAGCGCTGTAGGGGCTAGAGGACGCAGGCTGTTCGCTGCTCGTTCTGTGAGTGGAGGAGAACAAACGGGCCGCTAAGACTCTACTCAGCACTTTTCACTGCCGTAACTCATACACTGCTGAATCAATGACCTCAAGTTTTCAATTAAATTATGGATTATAATACAACTTGTATGAAGTAATTTATTTTTAGTTAATTTAGTTTTTATGAACTACTTAGAAAAAAAATCGTGTATAGCTTATTTAAAACGTAGGTAACACTAGAACTCCCAGAGCAGTCCTTTTGACGGCTTTTCGGTCTTCATACATTTTCTATTCGTAGTTTAAAACCACTTGTGTGGGAAGAAGTTTTTATGTTTGTGTACTATCGTGAAAAAGTATGTTTTTTCATGATAACAGCAACTGTGATGCTCCTGTGTTTGCCTATACATAAACATTATGTACACACCAGTGGGGGCGGGTCCCAGCTCAAAAGTGGCCAAAATGACGTGCGCTGACATGCTGCAATACCACCCCGGGCCGATGGGGGTGGACCCGGAAGTAGAATTAGCCAATGCTAACATATAGCATTGGCAGACCTCTCAAAAACGTCTTTACAGGATGGACCAAAAGTTGGCTCTTGGCCCAAAGCTCCGTTCCACATGTGTGTCAATGCTGAGGGGGGTGGATTTTTTTGGTCCACTCTAGTTTACTTGCTGTGAATTTTTGAAGTCTCTCGTTCAAATGAATGGAGCTGCGCCGGCTGACGCATGTGCAGATGCGATTTTTCACAAATTTCTTGTGAGCGGGACCACTCACGGCCATTTTGCATTGCTCCAGTAGAGCACTTTTTTGGCCCATTAGTTAGAACGGCGGAGATAGGCGTGACTCTGTCCGTTAATATATACAGTCTATTGTATATAATAAATATTGTGTATAATAATGGGACCAAATTGCAGAGAACCCAAAATTATAATCATACAAAAAATCAACTTGAAAATAAATGTAAAAACTCACCCGCTTCTTCTGAGTTCAGTTTTGCCTGCTGTGCTTTCCCCATGAGCTGCAACATCAGAGCAGATCCAGGGGTGAGATCATTTCCATAATTTCCATAAAGTCTGCGTGAGGCATTTCTAGATAAGGGACATTTACCTTCTCTATGTTCTTGTAGTTATTGGTGTTTCGATTCACATTCTGCTCTGCGTCCTCTTTATCTCTGCACTTTTGCTCGTACGTTTTCTTCGACTGTAGAAAAGGACAGTTTAAAGAAAACACATAAATACAGACGAATACACAAATACATATGGAAAAACTAAAGCTTTATATACAAGTGTGAGTAGGTTTTGGCATTGGAGTGAGAAATATAGACACAAAATTATAATCTCAATTATTATAGTTTCTTATATATATATATTGACAGCAATATTCAGACCACACTGCAAAAATAAGGCAAAAATTGCTCAAATTTGGCAACATGTGTATCTTAATTTTAGCCGTTTTTGACTGCCAATTAAATCATATACAAATAGTTTATTATGAAGATGGCAATGACAACTCCATATAATGTCGAGCGGATTGTTTTAAGATACAGGTCTGAGACTAACCTCTATTATGTTGATTGTTCCTGAACCAGACCTTCTGAGTTTGTCTACAGTAAGTATTGGTTACTTAGGGGCTTGTATCTGGGTCCTGAGCAGTCATTCTGTTTATTACTGTCTATGTTATTACTAGGGCTGTCAAACGATTAATTTTTTTAATCGAGTTAATTACAGCTTAAAAATTAATTAATCGTAATTAATCACATTTCAAACTATTGGCAAAATTATGCCATATTTTTCTGTAAATGGTTGTTTGAATGGAAAGATAAATGACATCATAGTGAACATATGTACTGTATTTGTTTATTATAACAATAAATCCATATACAATGGAATTAACATTATTAACATTCTGTCTTTTTGTTTAGACTCAGACCAAAACCATTGTTTGTTACAGCTGAGGGACATTTCAAACAGTCTGAAATGCAGAATGTCATTAAATCTGTTTGATTTGCTCACACCATTACTTTTTTTGGAACAACCAACATGAACTGGTAGTGGAATGGAAAATTAGGTACCTCAGCTTTAATTTAGCGAGTGCGCTTCGGGAGAAGGCACGGAGGAGACTGAGGCTCCGCAGTCCAGCTTCAGCGCTGTACATATTGTGTGCATCGGTTACGCAAAGACACGTACGCACACTAGAGAATAGTTCTGTAATAGTTCTGTGCGTGGTCTTGGATATGATCCCGTTATGCAGCGTCGTTCGCCGTGATCACGGCCGCTGGAAGTGGGACCTGCTGTCCAGAGCGCTGTGGCGCCCGCAGCTCATCCTGCAGAGTTCATACAGGAAACAACAAGTGCCCCGCGGTCACGCGTGTATTCTTTCAAAACTTGAATTCCCAGAGGGTCTACCTGCTCTGTCCCCACTCTTACACACGCATGTGTCCACGGCATTCTGTGTTATTATGGGACGCATGGGCATGCGTCAAATGCGTTATTTTTTTTAACGCGATTAATGACAAAAATTAATTAACTTGCGTTAACGCGATAATTTTGACAGCCCTAGTTATTACATGAATGTCTCATAACTTGGGGTTCGGGGACACTGCTAAAAGTGATAAAGTATCTTAATTTAAGCACATTCTGACTGCCTTAAAACAAGATTTGCCAATGGGACCAAGCAAAATTATAATGTTAAAAAAAATACAAGAAATGTCTCACTTGGAATGAGAAAATAAAGCAACAGTTCTTGAAATAAGTCTAAATGGCTTTGTCCCATTTGTTGTTCCATTGTTCCATTGGTGAATCTTGTTTTACAGTCAGAATGTGCTCAGATAAAGAAAAAAACCACTTGATTCACACAATTATCATATTTCATCATTTTTTGCAGTGCATATATGTAAATGCTTGTCTGTGGTGTTGGTTTGAGGTTGAAGTAGAGCTAACCACAAAAGGGCGAAGAGGAGCTTCATGTTTGAAACGGTGTCTGTCTTGTTCCTATTTTTGTGTTTTGCATTTGTTTCTTTTTCCTGGAACTTTATTCAAATGTTGCATGTTATCAAAACAACAATGGTGTTATTTTCTGTTTTCTTTTAGTAGCAATATAGATTCTCATGTCAAGTCATCATTAAAGGGCCCTAATCTGTCAAAATGCTTTAATAAAAAAATGCTCTTTTCCAATACTTCTTTAACTGATAACTGTAGTTCAGAGATATTTGGATTTCAAAATTAGTTTTCCAGCCCCTAAATCTTGTTATTGTTTTCATTTTGATGTCCCGCCCTCCACCATTTCACCAATCAGAAAGTCCGTGATCCGGGTTGCCAGAACTGACTCACTGGTAAAGTATCATGTGGCGCAGAACTAAAAAAAGGTCTTGTTTTGATTCTCAAATTATTAACGACAAAACAAGGAATAAAACCAGGATTTCTATCTTTGTGAGAAAAGTGTTGGTTATAGATTTGTTCTTGACAAAACTCTTTATTCAGATATTCTGGTCCCAGCTGGATTCTTCTGCATATCTGGCAACCTGAGTCAGGGAGAGTGCAGTACCACTGTTGGCCAGATTTTTACATACTGCTCCTTTACCATTTCCCACGTTTAGAATAAAAAAATAACTAAAAATAAATGTGTCACTCACGTCCATAGTCTTTTTGAACTGTGACGCCTTCTGTTTGTGTAGAGCGTCCATGTGTTGTTCTATCTGTGGAAACACGAGCCAAAATTGATTGATATGAATGAATGGAATCCTTATTTCAACAAACAAAAGCACGAACAGGGATTGAGAAGTGGTTGGAGGAAGCAAAACATACATTAATCCAAACCCCCTCCACCCAGACAAAACAGGACACACAATGAGACAGACACAATACAACACTGGGTACATCAACAAATCACATTATACTACAGTTTACAGTATTTAATAAAGCTAAGAATTTTCTTTCAATCAGACAAAGAGTGTAAAGAGAGTTTGGCTTAAGCCCGCAGCACCCTCTGTTACAAATGTGAGACATAAAGTTCAAATGTTATGGAAAAATAAGTCTGACTGTTTGGTTTAATGCATTAACTACTTTCTGAACTGTACTTTCTGGACTATAAGCCGCGCCTGTATATAAGCCGCGCCTGTATATAAGCCGTGCCTGTATATAAGCCGCGCCTGTATATAAGCCGCGCCTGTATATAAGGTCAATTATTAACAAACAAACACATAGACAAACAAACATAACCCCCCTGGAGAAAAAAAACCAAAACATTTTTTATATAAGTAAGTGAGTAATCTTTATTTATTTAGCGCCTTTCACAGACCAGAGTCACAAAGCGGTTTACAATCGTGGGCATTTGTCTCTCACTCCACACAGAGATGGGAGCGGGGCCAGAACAGGAGGCACATGCCAGAACTATTGTACAGTGGTAGGGAAAACCGGAGCACCCAGAAGAAACCAATGCAGACATGGGGATAACATGCAAACTCCACTCAGAAAGCCCCTGTTCCGACCGGGATTTGACCCCAGGACCTATGGGTCTATGGACATCGGTCATCTTCCCCTTATGGACCAATGTCTCTATGTGTTTTTATCATTACATTTCTTTGTTTTATCTTTGATTTCTTTGTCCTCGGAGATTGCCACTGTTGTGATGTAGGGCTATACAAAAATACATTTAATTTAATTGAATTTAAAACGTGAAATACAGACCTTTTTCCTGACTTCCTTCTGTCTCTCTTTGAACTCCTCGAGCTTCTTCACCTCCTCCCTCATGCTCTGGGCCAGCTGCAGGTGAGACAGGCTGACGTGCTCCATCTCTGTTCCAAATCATTCACAAACATTCAACATTGTGTGTGCGTGTGTGTGTGTGCGTGTGTGTGTGTGTGTGCGAGTGCGTGTGTATGTATTACTCTGTGAGAAGTATATAATTTCAAACACAAGTCAAAAAGAGAAGTGAAAATAAAGCAGCACTTACGCAATTTGAAAATGTCCAGGGACCTCTTGAGTGTGCTAAAAAAAAAGACAGTTTTCAAAACATTAGCCTTTTTCACCAGTTTGTGCAATCCAGCGCAACGAAATTAATGACAACAGTTTATTTCCTAATTTATGATTTAAGATTAAGATTACGACATCCATTATTCAACCCACATCGGGGAAATCTCAGGGTTGCAGAAGTTACAGAACAGTATGAATGAGGAGCACACAGCATAAGAAAACTCAATACGTTAGAATTTTTTTAATAAAGAAACATTATTTAGAGAATAGTTCCAGAAATGTTTGTTTTAGTTTCACATGATAAAAAAACCCAAGATATTTTAACCTAATATTTTAGTTCTTTATGCAAATCTAGTGTCAAGTGAGAAATATATATATATTTTTTATCAATCATCCATTGTCTTCCCCCTTTGTCCATTTCTAGATTGGGGGAGTTGGCAGCTCTGTTTGTGAGAGCGTAGCGGGGGCTTAAGGCAAAGTGGGGTTGTGTCTTGCCCAAGGACACAACGACGGCAGACCTGGGAGTTGGTGGAGAAGGTCTTGCGGTGGGGTCGAACCCGCGACCTTCAGGCTCAAAGGCCAATGCTCTGAGCCACTGTCACCATCTTTCTGTCAACTTCATCAATTCAATTATCTTTATTTACAAAACTTGACAACAACTCACACACAAACTTGAAAGCACTTTGTAAAAGAGAACTCCCAGGAAACTGCATTAGGTCGTTTTAAATTTTACAAAAAAGTTTTAATATAATGATAATTCAAAATCTGATTTGAGAATAAAGTCTGAGCGGTAAGTTTTTTTCCAATTTCCGGACAGATTTTCTTCTTGTTTGGATAAAATAAGCTTGTTCTGCTGTATTTCAAGGACAAATTCTCAAAAATATTCAAGTAATAAGTAAATAATATTTGAAATGTATGTTTTTAAACTGGAATCAAGTCGTTTGGGGCTAAAATTATTTTCACAAATCTTGTAAAGTCATATTTTCTTCTTCTATCTGCATCATTTTTCTTATTTCAAGCAGTATTTTACTTTCATTTTTTCCCCAGTGCATGAAGACTCTTTTCACTTTCTTTAAATATATATTTGCAGTATTTATGACATTGTGCCCATTTCATTTACAAACCTATAGACTCTGGCTGTCTTCTGGCAGAATACTTATACGTTTACTCTAATGTTACTCTTGTACTTCCTCTTCCTAACAGCCCAAACTGATGTGGTCCTAAAACCACGAAGACCATGTGACGACTGGCAGAAAAGGAACTAAACATGAGACTTTGGACGTTATGTGGAAGTTTTAAAAACATAGATGATTACTATCTGTTATCATCTGTAACTACCTGTAACTATCTGTAATCATCTGTAACTATCTGTAACTACCTGTAACTATCCGTTATCATCTGTAACTACCTGTAACTATCTGTTATCATCTGTAACTATCTGTAACTACCTGTAACTATCTGTTATCATCTGTTACTACCTGTAACTATCCATAACCATCTGTAACTACCTGTAACTATCTATAACTATCTGTAACTACCTGTAAATATCTGTAACTATTTACAGATGGCTACTATCCGTAACCATCTGTAACTACCTGTAACTATCCGTGACCATCTGTAACTATCCGTAACTACCTGTAACTATTCGTAACTACCTGTAACTATCCGTAACTATCTGTAACTATCTGTAACTATCTGTCACTATCTGTAACTATCCGTAACTATCTGTAACTACCTGTAAATATCTGTAACTATTTACAGATGGTTACTATCCGTAACCATCTGTAACTACCTGTAACTATCCGTACCATCTGTAACTATCTGTAACTATCTGTAACTATTTGTAACTACCTGTAACTATCTGTAACTATCTGTAACTATCTATAACTATCTGTAACTACCTGTAAATATCTGTAACTATTTACAGATGGTTACTATCCGTAACCATCTGTAACTACCGTTAACTATCCGTAACCATCTGTAACTATCCGTAACCATCTGTAACTATCTTTAAATATCCGTAACTACCTGTAACTATCCGTAACTACCTGTAACTATCCGTAACTATCTGTAACTATCTGTAACTACCTGTAACTATCTGTCACTATCTGTAACTATCCGTAACTATCTGTAACTACCTGTAAATATCTGTAACTATTTACAGATGGTTACTATCCGTAACCATCTGTAACTACCTGTAACTATCCGTAACCATCTGTAACTATCCATAACTATCTGTAACTATCCGTAACTACCTGTAACTATCCGTAACTATCCGTAACTACCTGTAACTATCCGTAACCATCTGTAACTATCCGTAACTATCTGTAACTATCCGTAACCATCTGTAACTATCCGTAACCATCTGTAACTATCCGTAACTATCTGTAACTATCCGTAACTATCTGTAACTATCCGTAACTATCTGTAACTATCCGTAACTACCTGTAACTATCCGTAACTACCTGTAACTATCCGTAACTATCTGTAACTATCCGTAACTATCTGTAACTACCTGTAACTATCTGTCACTATCTGTAACTATCCGTAACTATCTGTAACTACCTGTAAATATCTGTAACTATTTACAGATGGTTACTATCCGTAACCATCTGTAACTACCTGTAACTATCCGTAACCATCTGTAACTATCTGTAACTATCTGTAACTACCTGTAACTACCTGTAACTATCTGTAACTATCTGTAACTATTTGTAACTACCTGTAACTATCTGTAACTATCTATAACTATCTGTAACTACCTGTAAATATCTGTAACTATTTACAGATGGTTACTATCCGTAACCATCTGTAACTACCGTTAACTATCCGTAACCATCTGTAACTATCCGTAACCATCTGTAACTATCCTTAACTACCTGTAACTACCCGTAACTATCCGTAACTATCTGTAACTATCCGTAACCATCTGTAACTATCCGTAACTATCTGTAACTATCCGTAACTATCTGTAACTATCCGTAACTATCCGTAACTATCCGTAACTACCTGTAACTATCCGTGACTACCTGTAACTATCCGTAACTATCTGTAACTATCCGTAACTATCTGTAACTACCTGTAACTATCTGTCACTATCTGTAACTATCCGTAACTATCTGTAACTATCCGTAACTATCCGTAACTACCTGTAACTATCTGTAACTACCTGTAACTATCCGTAACTATCTGTAACTATCCATAACTACCTGTAACTATCCGTTATCATCTGTAACTACCTGTTATCATCTGTAACTATCCGTAACTATCTGTAACTATCCGTAACTATCCGTAACTACCTGTACCTATCCGTAACTACCTGTAACTATCCGTAACCATCTGTAGCTATCCATAACTATCTGTAACTATCCGTAACTATCTGTAACTATCCGTAACTATCCGTAACTACCTGTAACTATCCGTAACTACCTGTAACTATCCGTAACTACCTGTAACTATCCGTAACTATCTGTAACTACCTGTAACTATCTGTCACTATCCGTAACTATCTGTAACTATCCGTAACTATCTGTAACTATCCGTAACTACCCGTAACTATCCGCGACTATCCGCAACTACCTGTAACTATCCGTAACTATCCGTAACTACCTGTAACTATCTGTAACTACCTGTAACTATCCGTAACTATCTGTAACTACCTGTAACTTTCCGTTATCATCTGTAACTACCTGTAACTATCTGTTATCATCTGTAACTATCTGTAACTATCTGTAACTACCTGTAACTATATGTAACTACCTGTAACTACCTGTAACTATCTGTTATCATCTGTTACTACCTGTAACTATCCATAACCATCTGTAACTACATGTAACTATCTGTAACTATCTATAACTATCTGTAACTACCTGTAAATATCTGTAACTATTTACAGATGGTTACTATCCGTAACCATCTGTAACTACCTGTAACTATCCGTAACCATCTGTAACTACCCGTAACTATCTGTAACTATCTGTAACTATCCGTAACTATCCGTAACTATCCGTAACTTCCTGTAACTATCCGTAACTATCTGTAACTACCTGCAACTATCTGTCACTATCTGTAACTATCTGTAAATATCTGTAACTATTTACAGATGGTTACTATCCGTAACCATCTGTAACTACCTGTAACTATCCGTAACCATCTGTAACTATCCGTAACTACCTGTAACTATCCGTAACTATTTGTAACTACCTGCAACTATCTGTCACTATCTGTAACTATCTGTAAATATCTGTAACTATCCGTAACTATCTGTAACTACCTGTAACTATCTGTCACTATCTGTAACTATCCGTAACTATTTACAGATGTTACTATCCGTAACCATCTGTAACTACCTGTAACTATCCGTAACCATCTTTAACTATCCTTAACTAGCTGTAACTATCTGTAACTATCCGTAACTACCTGTAACCATCCGTAACTACCTGTAACTATCCGTAACTATCTGTAACTATCTGTCACTATCCGTAACTATCTGTAACTATCCGTAACTATCTGTAACTATCCGTAACTATCTGTAACTATCCGTAACTACCCGTAACTATCCGCAACTACCTGTAACTATCCGTCACTATCCGTAACTATTTGTAACTATCCGTAACTATCTGTAACTACCCGAACTATCTGTAACTATCCGTAACTATCTTTAACTATCCGTAACTACCTGAAACTACCCGTAACTACCCGTAACTATCTGTAACTATCCGTAACTATCTTTAACTATCCGTAACTATCAGTAACTACCCGTAGCTACCTGAAACTATCCGTAACTACCTGTAACTACCCGTAACTTCCCGTAACTACCTGTTACTATCTGTCACTATCCGTAACTATCTGTAACTATCCGAAACTACCTGTAACTATCCGTAAATATCTGTAACAATCCGTAACTACCTGTAACTATCCGTAACTATCGGTAACTACCTGTAGCTATCCGTAACCATCTATAACTATCTGTAACTATCCGTAACTACCTGTAACTTTCCGTAACTATCTGTAACTATCCGTAACTACCTGTAACTATCCGTAACTATCGGTAACTATCCGTAACTATCTGTAACTATCCGTAACTACCCGTAACTACCTGTAACTATCTGTAACTACCCGTAACTACCTGTAACTATCTGTAACTATCCGTAACTACCCGTAACTACCTGTAACTATCCGTAACTATCCGTAACTACCCGTAACTACCTGTAACTATCCGTAACTATCCGTAACTACCTGTAACTATCTGTAACTACCTGTAACTACCCGTAACTATCCGTAACTACCCGTAACTACCCGTAACTATCCGTAACTACCCGTAACTATCTGTAACTATCTGTAACTATCCGTAACTATCCGTAACTATCTGTAATTACCCGTAACTATCTGTAACTACCCGTAACTATTTCCGTAGAATCAAAGGTCTGTGGGAGTTTTTTTTGCAGCTCGAACGATAGAAACCATGAGAGAAGTGACTTTACATAAAAAACATTGACTCACTTCATCTCATTGTGGCCACAGACTTTCTTTGACAAACCCAGTAAGTCTTTGGCATATTTCTCTTCAATTGTCGCTCTATAAAACAAAAAACAAAGCTGATTTTAGAGTAGCAGGTTATAATTATTATTATTATTATTATTATTATCATCATTATTTATTTATTTATTAATTATCTATCTCTGCTTATTGTCCTTCTCCTCCTCCCCTTTATATAATTTGCATTTCCTGCTATTGCCTACTTGTATGTCTGTGTGTGTCTGTTTGTTTATATGTGTGTAAGTAGGTATAGCTTTCGTTTGCTAATGAAAACACAAAAGAATAGCCGATAAGATAAACTTTATTGATCTCACAATGGAGGAATGTACACGGAAAATAAGTTGAGCTCACATCAAATGGCTCTGTTATTGTTTATCATGGTTCTCACTAGACATGAAGATGCAATGGCAGAACTATATGTAAAGCGATCAGATAAGATACACTTTCATTCGAAGTAAATAAGATGGTGTGTGTGTGTTTTTACATTTACCTGGCTTTTAAAAAGTCCTCCACTTCCTTACAGGTCCGTTTGCCCTCATTGTGATACTGAATAACAGCATCGTATCCCGCGGTGCTGGTCAGCTCACTGCTCTGTCAAAGGGAAGAGAATGTGTCAGTGTGTTTGGGTAATGACTGGTTTTAGACATAAACTACATTCTCTCAGGAAAAATAATAATAATAATAACATATATATATATATATATATATTTATATATATATAAAAACTCACCCAGAAATGATCCTTAAAGTGAAGGTGCTTCATGTCGGAGCGCTCAGAGACACTCCTGCTGCACCGGCTCTGACTGAAGTCTACACCCGCGTGCGCGCGCTCAGGACTCTGATCAGGACACGCGCATCACTGTCGCATGCTGCCATCTAGTGGCAATGAGGAGTTAATGCAGTAAAGGACAAGCCTGAAACAAACCGCACGCGCCAGACAATTACAAAAGTGTGTATAATTAGTTTGAGAAATAGTCAAGGGTTCTGGTTCATGTTTTCTCATCTGCATCTTGAGCCTGTGCAGTGAGTGAGGTGGGAATAAAAGTGCAACTTCATTTGTTTGAGACAGTAGAGCAACAGTCAGGAGCAGTGGGCTCCACAGTGAAGCAGCTTTGTCAGAACCAGAGCTGAAGATCTGACCTTTGTTATTGGGCAGAGAGAGAAACATGCACATTCCACACAGACGACTCGGAATCAAACCCACGACCTTCGAGCTGTGAACCATGAGTGCTACTCTATCAGTCACTGTGTTAAAGTGCACTCTCAAACTCTAAAAGTTCAGTGAACAATACTGATTCTATAAAACTCATACTTTAAAAACAGATGACATGAAATGCCACAAGTTTTTTGTTTGTTTTAACAGTTGATGTAATGTGTCCGATCTTTCTTTTATCTAATTTGCTTTCAACCAATCTATATTGATTGTAGCATAAAATGATTCTGACCAAAATATTGGTCAAGTTTGTCTACTACCATCTCACCACATTCAAACAATACATCTCACTTTGGCATCAGGTCTTCCCGGAGGTCTCCCATCACAGTACTAACCAGGCCATGTACTGCTTAGCATCTGATATCTGACAGGATCAGGCTGTCACTTGCAGGTGGCGCCTCAATAAATATAAAATTAACATCTGTTTTCAGGTCCTTAGGTTATGTTTTCATTTATGATCAAAATATTGGTCAGCAGTAGTAGTAGTAGTAGTAATAGTAGTAAAAGTACAGTAGAAGTAGTAATAATAGTAGCAGTAGCATTAGCATTAGCAGTAGTAGTAGTAGTAGTAGCAGCAGTAGTAGTAGTAGCAGCATCAGTAGTAGTAGTAGCAGCAGTAGCAGTAATAGTAGTAGTAGCAGCAGTAGGCAAGGCAAGGCAAGGCAAGGCAAGTTTATTTATATAGCACAATTCATACACAAGGCAATTCAAAGTGCTGAACAAAACAAGAAAGCATTAAAATCATAAATTATCACAGAACATTAAAAAGAAAAGATAGAAATATAAAATCCCTCAGTTGTATGCACAGTTAAACAGAACTGTCTTTAACCTGGTTTTAAACATTGTCAGAGAGGAGGCCTGTCTCACATCTTCAGGAAGACTGTTCCAGATTTTAGCAGCATGAATCTGAAAAGCAGCCTCCCCATGTTTAGTTCTGACTCTGGGCACTAACAGGAGTCCAGTCCCTGTGCTCCTCAGAGTCCGGGCTGGTTCATATGGGACTAACATGTCACTAATATATTTTGGTGCGAGGCCATGGAGAGACTTGTACACAAGCAGAGCTGTTTTAAAGTCTATTCTCTGAGCCACAGGAAGCCAGTGCAGAGACCTGAGAACTGGACTAATGTGGTCGTACTTCCTGGTTCTAGTCAGGACTCGAGCTGCTGCATTTTGAATGTACTGCAGCTGTTTTACAGCCTGTTTGGACAGACCTGTGAGCAGGCCATTGCAGTAGTCTAACCTACTGGAGACAAATGCATGGATAAGAATCTCCAGGTCTGCTTTAGACACTATGTTTTTGATCCTGGCAATGTTTTTTAGATGGTAAAAAGCTGCTGATGTTACTGATTTGATGTGGCTATTAAAATTTAAGTCTGAGTCCAGTATTACCCCTAGATTTCTGACCTTGTTTGAAGGTTTTAGGGAGAGAGACTGTAGGTGACAGATGACGCTCTCTCTTTGTTTCTGGGGACCAAAGACAATCATTTCAGTTTTGTCTGCGTTTAGCTGAAGGAAATTGTTTTGCATCCACTCACTGATCTGTTGGATACAGTGAAGGAGTGAGTCCACTGGTCCATGTTCTCCTGCAGTCAGTGAGACATAGATCTGAGTGTCGTCTGCATAGTTATGATAGGAAACTTCGTTTCTGCGTATTAACTGACCTAACGGCAGCATGTAGAGATTGAACAGAAGAGGTCCCAGGATCGACCCCTGTGGGACTCCACAGGTCAGGGCCATATGATCTGAGACACAGTTTCCAATCTCCACAAAGTACTTCCTGTCTTCAAGGTAAGACCTAAACCAACTTAGGGCAGTGCCAGCGACTCCAACCCAGTCCTCTAGTCTCTGTAAGAGGATCTCATGGTCGACGGTGTCAAAGGCAGCACTTAGATCTAACAAGATTAAGATTGAGACTTTGCCTGCGTCAGTGTTCAGCCGGATATCGTTTGTAACCTTAACGAGAGCAGTCTCAGTGCTGTGGTGGGGTCTAAAGCCGGACTGAAACATATCAAATGAGTTGTTGATTATAAGAAATCTAGTAAGCTGTAGGTAGACAACTTTCTCAAGGACTTTCCCCATAAATGGCAGATTTGAGATGGGACGATAGTTGTTAAGTACCGTAGCATCCAGACTGCTCTTTTTTAGCAGGGGCCTGATGACTGCAGTTTTCAGGGCCTTTGGGAATATTCCAGAATGAAGGGACATGTTTACTATCTGTGTGAGTGAATGTAACAGACTGCTCAGAACAGACTTTAGAAATCTAGTGGGTAGTACATCCAAGCTGCATGTGGAGGAGCTCAAACTGGAGATTATCTCTTGGACAGTTTTATCATTTACAGGTGCAAAGTGAGTTAGCTCAGAGAGCCTTTCTGGCTGTTGGATGGTTATCTGTGGATTGGAGACAATGGCGTTTTTGATGCCTTGAACCTTGTCATTGAAAAAATGAGCAAACTCATTGCATTTACGTTTGGAAGTAAGCTCTAATGGCATTTGAACAGGGGGGTTTGTTAATCTATTAACTGTTGAGAACAGAACACGCAGATTGTTGCTGCAGCCTTCAATCATTTCAGAAAAATACCTTTCTCTCGTACTACGTAGCACCCGGTTAAACTCGCACAACTTATCTTTGAAGATCTCGTAATCAACCTGGAGGTTGGACTTGCGCCACTTCCGCTCGCGGAAGTAGTAGTAGTAGCAGCAGTAGCAGTAGTAGTAGTAGTAGTAGCAGCAGTAGTAGTAGTAGTAATAGCAGCAGTAGTAGTAGTAGTAATAGCAGCAGTAGTAGTAGTAGTAATAGCAGCAGTAGTAGTAGTAGCAGCAGTAGTAGTAGTAGCAGCAGTAGTAGTAGTAGCAGCAGTAGTAGTAGTAGTAGCAGCAGCAGCAGTAGTAGTAGCAGCAGCAGCAGTAGTAGTAGCAGCAGTAGCAGTAGTAGTAGTAGTAGCAGCAGTAGCAGCAGTAGTAATAGCAGCAGCAGCAGTAGTAGTAGCAGCAGTAGCAGTAGTAGTAGTAACAGCAGTAGTAGTAGTAGTAATAGCA